TATCCTTGCAACAAAGCCCGTTGCCAATTGTGCCCACATATCTATTCAGGGGACACCATCACAGGGCCTAATAACATCAGCCACACTATCAGAGGCTCGTTCACCTGCACATCCACCAATGTGATATATGCAGTCATGTGCCAGCAATGCCCCTCTGCCATGTACATTGGTCAAACTGGACAGTCTCTACGTAAAAGAATAAATGGACACAAATCAGATGTCAAGAATTATAACATTCATAAACCAGTCGGAGAACACTTCAATCTCTCTGGTCACGCAATCACAGACATGAAGGTCGCTATCTTAAAACAAAAAACTTCAAATCCAGACTCCAGCGAGAAACTGCTGAATTGGAATTCATTTGCAAATTGGATACTATTAATTTAGGCTTAAATACAGACTGGGAGTGGCTAAGTCATTGTGCAAGGTAGCCTGTTTCCTCTTGTTTTTTCCTACCCCCCCCCGATGTTCTGGTTTAACTTGGATTTAAACTTGGAGAGTGGTCAGTTTAGATGAGCTATTACCAGCAGGAGAGTGAGTTTGTGTGTGTATGGGGGTGGGGGGGATGTGAGAAAACCTGGATCTATGCAGGAAATAGCCCGACTTGATTATGTAAAGAGTTGTCACTTTGGATGGGCTAGCACCAGCAGGAGAGTGAATTTGTGTGGGGGGGTGGAGGGTGAGAAAACCTGGATTTGTGCTGGAAATGGCCCACCTGTTGATCACTTTAGATAAGCTATTACCAGCAGGACAGTGGGGTGGGAGGAGGTATTGTTTCATATTCTCTGTGTGTATATAAAGTCTGCTGCAGTTTCCACGGTATACATCTGATGAAGTGAGCTGTAGCTCACGAAAGCTCATGCTCAAATAAATTGGTTAGTCTCTAAGGTGCCACAAGTACTCCTTTTCTTTTTGCGAATACAGACTAACACGGCTGTTACTCTGAAACCTAATGATTCCTAACATTGTTAGCTTTTTTGACTGCATATTTATACATAACTGAGTAATAATTAATTTAAACTACAATACAGACACTATTTCCCACATCCCTCAGAAGCTGTGCAAAGGCTTGAGGGAGTCAGGGTTAATAGAGGAGCTGAGGGAAAGGGAAGTAATTGCTGGGATGGAGCCTGGGAGTGAACTTGGACAGTTGTTGTGGGTGGGTGGGAGATGTATGGAACAGATTTTTTTGTTAGGGAGCTTTCCCCCCCCCCCGCAGACCCTGGCTGACCCCTAGCATTTCCCATTCAGTCAGGCATATAAGCCTGTGTCCCTAGAACCCTACTCAGCCACCCCTTCTCCCAGCATCCCAATGTCCCTATACCCCACTCAGTTACCCCCTATCTCCATGTAGCCTTGCACCCCCACTCAGCCCCTGGCTGAATGCTGTCACCCTACTAGCGCCTATGCCCCAGTCTGTCTCCCCACCATTAGCCTTCTGACCCTTAGTCTGTGACCTCCCCAGCAGCCCTGTGGTCCCCACTCTGTCCATCCCTCCTCACCCCATTCCTCCTCACATGGTCCCAAGGGCAGGGCACTGTGGGGAACTAGCCTCTCCCCAGCAGGCTGCTCCACCTGCCCTGTTCTGGCACCACAGCAGCCTCTGGTGGGAAAAAGATGTAATTACAGCACCTCCCCAGGATAATGTATTTTCGGGCCGGGGGGGGGGGATCTGCAGGGGACAGGGGATTCTGCAGGTGCGCAGTGACTCACAAGGCCCCCACCAGAAATAAGACTTCAGTGGTTCTCAAACTTCACTGCATTGCAACCCTCTTCAGGGGCCAGGGAGTGAAGCCCAAGCCTCACCCTAGCTGAAGCCCTTGGGCTTCTGCTTCAGCCCCAGGCCCCAGCAAGTCACCCTGATCCTGGTTGGGGGAGACGACACAGCAGCCACAATGATGAAGCTCATTCCAGAACCCTCTGTCTGTTCTTTCATACTTTCGCCACACAATCTTTCTTTTAAGGACCCAGAAAGGGAGTGATAGGGGGTATAGCCCATCCCTTCATTATTTTGTCCACCAATAGGCCTAATATCCAACATACCAGTTGGCTCATTAACTTCCAGCCCTACATTTCCTGTTTTTATCAAGTGTTCGGTTCAACACAGTCCTTGAATCATATCGAGTTAGCCTAGTATGTTTGCCTTCTGTACCTTTTCCCATCACTTTTTATAGGTTATTGTAACGGGTTATGAACTTTTACATACTTTTTACAGTTGAGTTCACACTTTGGCTAAATTTGTAGGCTCATTTATTTCAACAGTGCATATATATTATAAAAACATTCCAAAACAGAATTCCACTGCACACACTTTTCAACGGGGGGTGGGAAAGGAAGAAAGAACAAACATGTGACAGATGTTAATCACATCACTTAATATTATGAATAACTCTATACCATCTTGCCTCCTATTTAATGTCAGACAGGAAATGGGACAGACATAGGCCTGTTGGTTAAAGAGTGGTCTTTATTTCCTGGCCCCCATCTTGTGGCAGGAGAGAGGGTTGCAAGAAATTAAACTCATGTGGTCAACGTCAGTATCAGCTGACACCAGTTACATTTTCTCTTTAAAAATACACAGCTAAAATGCAATATCATCCAAAACCAACCACCACCACTCACTAGTGGAAACAATTCTAACTGGAAATCAGGTGTTTTGAACAAGTAGTAAGGCATAAATTTCAGTTCCCTACAAATGGACCATGTGGAATTGTACAAACCTGTACTGAAGAGAATGAATAACTAGGTTAGCACTGGGGTCTTAAAAGACCATGGTTTCAATAAGACCAAATTTCAAAGTGCAAGATATGAACTGAATGCGGATGGTAAAGTAATTCCATCCTAAAAGCCTGTGATCGGCTTGATTCTTATAAATCAGTGCAGTTTCAGTGCATGGAAAATCTTTAGTATCATTTGATTAGCAGTTAAGAGTCATCTCAATGGGGTGGATGCACAAGAGATTGTGTTTATGAAATACAGAAACATGAATGAATTTGTTCCCTTTTTGAAAACCACAAAATTATAAAGTGTCGGTTTTGTAAACACCACGCTTTGACTGTTAATAGGCTTATTCAAATAAATACACCAGATTACTTTTTTTTACATCACTATCTAATGATGTTAGTACTTAAATGTAAACACCTGTTGGTATAAGATACATAGGCTTTTATGGATTAAATAATAAGCCATATATTGGAATAAAAGTTTAAAAACTTAAAAAGCTTAACAGCATTGTGGGGATTAGGAAAAGACAACACTAGATAGAGTTCCCTTCTCTTAGCAAATTACAGGTCAGCATGAGGCATGAACATTATTAAAAATTCACTAAAAAGGTTTTTACATATCTGAAGTTTTAAATTAGTAGCTTCTATTTTGGGGTGAAGTTGTACATATGAAACAGATATTACCTCTGTTACGGCAACCATTCCAATGAACTTCAGGTTCTGTGATTCAGTCCAGCTGAGCAAACACGTAATAAATGTATTAAATAGGTATCCTTGTGGCCACTATAAGAATCTCATTGAGCCTTATTACATAATAGGCCCAGTCCTGCTCACTGAACTCCATGAGCTGTTAAATTTCAACAGCAGCAGGGTTGGGCCCAAAATATCAGTGATGACACCACTTCACTGTCTTCCCCTACTATAACTGCCTTGGAAGAAACAAATACAAAGAAGATAGATACAGTGGAGCAGATATTTTGTTTTGAGTTTGTGCTTGGCAATGCAGAGGGTGGGGCCCCAATTCTCCACCTGAGCATGACTGTAGCGAAGCACACTCCAGCTACTCCTCTTCCATTCCTGATAACCTCCATCCTCCCTACTGCACTGGGGGCTCCAAGGAGGGTGACAGGATCTGACTGTCAGCTCTGTACTCGCAGGAAGGCCCAAGTTAGGGGAATGAGGCTAGGCTTCACACACTTTGCACTGCCTGAGTCACAAAGGGAGTGGAACAGGACAGAAACTGTATCAGTGTATGCTGTTTGAAGAAACTGGGAAGGGTTTATTAGTGAAGTCTTTGTAGCTGCAGATGTTTGTTGTCTCTCTCTGAAACACTTTTCCAGGACATCAGTACCATGAGAAAACCACAGAATACTGTATTGTGTACACACCCTGACTTGAAGGCCCCTTATAAACACCTTCAGTATTATCACTTACAAATAGAATGAAAAGCCACACCAGGACGAAGGGCAGAAAGGTGAGAATTAAGAGCCTAAGGGTATTAAGAGTAACAGCCGTGTTAGTCTGTATTCGCAAAAAGAAAAGGAGTACTTGTGGCACCTTAGAGGTGCCACAAGTACTCCTTTTCTTTTTAAGGGTATTAAGATACACATAAATATTACGTCTTACATAAAATGTTCACAAAGGAGCAGTTCATTCCTTTCCAATCCCTCAGCTTTTGCTCAGTTTTCTGCTCTGAGAAGCAAGATCAATTCCAGTTCTTTCAGTTCACATTCGTAAAGCTTTGAGACTGAAAATCTCTGCATCTCCCACTAAGTCTTGGTCAGTGCTGCTGAACCGCCTGCCATGCAACTGGCAGCCCCTTCACAGCCTCAGTTGCCTTGGCACTCTCCATTATTTGCTAATATAGGGATATGAAATATCTATCATTGTATCAGGAAAGTTGAATGTGTGTATTAAGCTTTGCCATCCCTCTGCTCCATGATGGTCAATGTCAGTTAGATCTTGCTCCTCATACTTCTATTTCAGAGGTTCAGTTTGAGGACAACCACTTCCCTGGTCTCTGTTGTCTTCGAGATCCATTTCCAGCAGATCTGTTTGGAAGATTTCCATTTCAATAGCTATGGACAGACACTCTAGAAAAACAGTCTTATCTGTTTCAGAGGAACAGCCGTGTTAGTCTGTATTCGCAAAAAGAAAAGGAGTACTTGTGGCACCTTAGAGACTAACCAATTTATTTGAGCATGAGCTTTCGTGAGCTACAGCTCACTTCATCAGATGTTACTGATGAAGTGAGCTGTAGCTCACGAAAGCTCATGCTCAAATAAATTGGTTAGTCTCTAAGGTGCCACAAGTACTCCTAGTCTTATCTGTCTCATTGAAGTCTTCCTCTGTCATCTCCTCCTTGTTCATTTCTGGGACAGGACCCTCATGCACATCTTCGTGTCTCAGGCTTCCAGCGAGTAAAAAGGGAACAGACTTACCTTCAGCCAGTCCACCTACATGCCTACGCCCCTTGAATTCCTGCTGAGCATTGTACCCTAGCTCCAGCTGACAGACCTTTCTTTCCAGACCCTCCGCAGGAACCAACTTTTGGACATGTAATTCTGCAATCATTTCATCACCATGTTCCTGAAGTCGGTGTGTCCAAGTGGCATCCCCTGTTTCTTTCACAGAAAATGGACAGTGTGAGATCATTTGCCCATTGCAAGCTTCCCCCACCCTGCATTTGCCTTCACCCACTGATATTGTATGCATTTCCCAACTGCTCCGATTTTCTCCTAACTTGTCTCCATCCCACTCAATTGATGCCACATGATTTGTTGCAGATCTTTGTAATTTTCCCTCTGTTAAACCTCCATCGTCCCTATATGTATCTCTGTCCAAACCCATAACCTGCAATGAATTGGTATTAGGCCAACAGTTAGCCTGAGAGTTGTCAGAATTTGTACTATCTGGGGTTGGACTCTGGTTCTTGGACATGCTTGTATTTGCAAAAAAAAAGTATAGTTACAAGATTCCTTGCAGGGACTTTCTTGATCCTGCAATAACTCTCTGTATTCTTGGTTATTCTTACCACTTTGTCCTGCTCCTTTAATCCAAGCTAGATTTAACTCCAATTCTCCATCCTGCCCTTGACTGCCTTGCTCAAACATCGCCCTCCCCCATTCCTCTTGTATTTTCTCTACAGCAACTTTGTCTACTGAATGTTCATTTATGATGTTCTGTGGCTCTTGTAGATCTTTGCTCCTTGCAAAAGGGCTCCATGACTTGTCATTACATTTGTTTTTATTTCGGTCTCCTGTGCACATATTGTTTTCAGCCTCAGACACAACTTCAGTCTTCTCTGCAACATGTCCTGCAGGTTCAGTAATACAGCTGCTTCGCATGTCTGGTTCCAAGGCCTTCTTGTGTCTCCAATTCCTACCATCAGGCAACACCCTCAAATATTTTTCTGCTTCTTTATGGCAATGGGAAGTTACTGGGCAGATTTGCCCTTTATCTTTGGGAGGATTTGCAGCCCCAGCTGAGCCTCCTTCATATTTCCATGCTTTCTTGTCTGAAATCGTCTCACTGTCTTGACAGGAGATGAGGTTCATGGTGTCTGATGTGGCATTGCAACCTAAGGCTCCTGTCCTTATTTCAGAGTGTTCCTGGGCTCTGTCCTGCTGCAGCAAGTTGTCCACACTATCCAGAACACAGGAGAAGCTGTCACTGTAAAGATGATGTCTGTTTTGACTTGAAGCCTCTTTCAAGGCTGAAACAAAGAACAACAGAAAGTAAGACAAAGAAATACCAAATCTTGCTTTGCTCTCTGTCCCTGTTCCCTCCCTACTGCATGTGTCTATATAGTCACAGTCCTTGTGCAGCACACACCCCTACATTAATATTCCATCTGTCCTGTGTCCTAGTTCTTATGAGCCCTTCTTGACATTTTTCTTTCCACGGCGGAAGCCAGGTTATCCCCAGTTCTAGTGTGGTAGCCAGGAGCAAGTCCCTGTGACTGCTCTGGAGGCTTTGAAAGCTCTGTCACATGCTCCCTCTGGCTTATCCCCAACAAAAAAACATATTTGAAGAGTTAAAAATGGCCTTTGGGGCTGGTTTGATCAGAGGAGCCAAAGCAAGCAGATGGGCAGGATGCCTGGCTTTAAAATGAGCACATTAACGATTTGTCCTGAATATAAAAGCTCTTTTGTTTTTAACACTTGAAAAGCAACAACTAACATGCAGCCCTGAGATGACATCACGGCTGTAAAATGGGATTTTATTTCCACCACACTAGCCAGTGGGAAATGTTTGGGCTACAATCAGATCGGGAAGAGAAAGAGAATGCGGAGACAGACAGAAGTAAGATATTTCAACATAGGAATACTGGAATTTACGACAAACAACATATGGAAAGTTGTTTGAACAGGAAAGCATAAAGATGCCTATAGATGTGAGAGACCATAAGAGCATTCCCATGCCAGAAGGCAACTGGCTCCCTGGTATCGAGCAGTGAGTTTCAGCTGGCCTCACCAGCTCAGGTTTACTCTAACTCTTCATTGTAATAATCTGTATCTAAAAGGTGTCACGTTATAGGTCATTGGAAAACCAATAACACTCTCATCACTAATATTCTTGCATGATGTTTGTAAAGTAAACCCAGAAAGGATTATTCAGCTGTGCTGAAATTATGACTAAAATGCGTTTAAATCAAGCATGTCAAGGGGAGATGAAAAACAGTTTTTTCCCCAGACAAAGGAATGCGGTGCCACTTGTTTGAATGTATCTCCCATATAAATTGAGCAACGTGTGACCAATGAAAAGTACATTTGTATGCCAGGCAAACAAAATCATCAGAAGAGCAAGTATGGGGGAAATGATTACTTAATTTCAACGAAAAGGAGTACTTGTGGCACCTTAGAGACTAACCAATTTATTTGAGCATAGGCTTTTGTGAGGTACAGCTCACTTCATCGGATGCATAAAGTGGGAAGTACAGTGAGGAGATTTTATATACACACAGACCATGAAAAAATACACATTGTAAGGAGAGTGATCACTTCAGATGAGCTATTACCAGCAGGAGAGTGGGGTGGGGGGAGAGAAAACCTTTTGAAGTGATAATCAAGGTGGGCCGTTTCCAGGAGTTAACAAGAACGTCTGAGGAACAGTGGGAGGGAAGAGAGGGATAAAGACAACATCCCAGGAAGACTTTCTGCCTCATGAAGCAGGGTCAATGAACTTTGAGAGAGACTTTTCAAAGTTTTACTGGACTATACAGAGAGGTGAAAAGAGCCCCTAAGTTATTCTTCACCTGAAGAGACAAGGAAAACCAGCACCTTGGACTCTGTGGGGATCGTGACTAAGAGCTAGTGAGCTGTTGCAGGAAAAGGAAGACTGGTGAGAAAACTGGTATCAGGACTGTGAGCCACAGCAACCCAGCATTTAAGGCATGCAAAGTTCCAAGGCAGGCGGTAACAACCCCTTATTGATCTGGACTGAACCCCAAAACATCACAAAATGCTTTAAAAAAAAGCCAACAGCAGTCAACAGAGGGGAAGTTACAGGCCTGGCGACTGTAAACATTTTTGGTGAAGATAATCTGTCCTCTCTTTAGCAGAGGATAAGGACCTAACAGTGCTGACTTTGGTCTGTTTTAGGATGGAACCCAGTTTCTACTCACCTTTGGTGACTGCCTGCTGCAGAACAGCCAGAACTATTTCTTCATAAATATTTTCAACACTGATGATGCCACTGAAGTCAGCAAACACGTAATTTTCATACTTGGGCAGCTCCTACCAAAGGAGGTAGAAGAGAGGGAAATCAGCCAGCATCAGTTACCTCACACACACACACACACACACACAGAGATAGGCAGGGCCAGCCTTGGATTACACAGCACCTGAAGTGAGCCAAGATATGGTGTTCTGCCCCCACCTCGGAATAAATAGTCACCTGAAATTCCAATGGCACCCTGTAGTTTCTGGCACCTGAACTGCCTGTCCAACCTTTAATGCTGGTCCTGCACAATGTTTTATGTGTATTTACAGGTTCAGAAGGAAAGTGGAGCCTCATGGTTAAACAGCCAGAATGGAAAGTGTTCAATGGAATTAGTTCAAACTCCCCAGAAGTCTGGGGGAAAGTTAACCAAGTTTAGGATCAAGCTTCCCAGACTCCTGATCACTAGAGACAAAGTTTAAATCTCTTCAGGACACAGTGCCCTGTACCACCAATAGCCCACTGACATGCACCAGGACTACCTTCAAAGGGAGTCAAACTTAACCATTGTCCTAGTACAAGGTACTGAGTTAGGCTGGTAGCAGTGCAGAAAAATGATAAAACGAAATGGAAAATTTTGGGGAAACATTTACATGGTAGTAAGAGTCATGATGTGAAATAAAAATAGATTCATGGCCCTCTGGAGGGAGTTTATTGGCTGCCTGGTGAGAGTGGCCTGCATTTTGGTGGCACTGAAGAACCTGTAATATTGCTTAAAGCCTCTCCTCTCTTTGGAGTCACAGTCCAGCCCTGCCACTCTGGAACGCTATAATGAAAGGTCAGACTAAATGATCTAATGATCCCTTCTGGTCTTAAATTCTATGAAAGTCACTGAGGGGAAGGGGATCTCCTATCAGCCCCCTGAAGTTCACTGAGCTAGCAAAGCTTTTCTGAAGAATAAAATGGAATAGTTTGATAAGATAAAATCAGCTTGTATGAGCTTCATCAGTTCACTATGGGGTTTGGGTCCCTTCACCTTCATTCAGAATCAGGCCTCACCAGTTTACATCTGGGCTCCAGATTCTTCAGCAGAAAGGGAAGAAAGATCTGAACCAGCCACTCTTGTGCAAACTGCTTCCTGGTGGAACTGCTGTCATAGTCAAATTTCTGAAAACCAACCACAACCAAATTGAAAAAGGAATCAGCGCAACAGTCAGGAAACTTCCCCACAACAACTTCTGCATTTGTCCACCTAGAGCAGCTCAGGACTGGATCATGTGAGGAACACAGTGTCCAAGGCAGCACACAGAGCAGAAAAGTCAACAAGTGCAGGGAGAATATGATCCAAAGAAATAGGACTTTATACAAAGAGAAGGTAAGAATATCACACACCTTACCTTCAGCACACGAGTTTTGATCTTTTCCAGAGTCTGGGTGATTTGGCTGTGGTTGGTTGCCAAGCTCAGATGTTGCTCTGAAAGCTGGTGGAATGTATGGACCGAATTCTGCATTAGCTACAAAAGAAAAAAATTGTCAGATGAGTAGGGGAGCCAGCACATTCAGAGACCACAGTCAGGACTCAGTTCCACGTCTTCAGCAGCCACCCTCTGGATAATGCAGCCTGCTTTCTCTCTAAGATCGGTTAAATAATCTCTTCATATCCTGCTGATGCCCAAGGGAAAAAGCAGACCCCACACAAATTAAAGGTAAAAATAGATCAGCTCAGAGCTTAACACTCAGGGAATGAATGCACTGCCCCTTCCCTTCATCTCCACTAAGAGGTTGCCTCACCCCAATCTGTTCTCTCAAAGTATCACCACTTACCTGCTGCATGAGGTTTTGGGCTCTGAGGACTAAACTTGCCACACCATGAAAGCCAAATCTTTCCTTCAGTCCCTGCAGACTGTCTTTGTAGAGATTAGCCTTCTCGTAACATGGCTCCATGAATTCAGGTTTCCAGGGCATTTCCCCAAGTGTGAGAATCTGCATCAGACAAGTAGTCAGCTAGTTAAGGTCTGTACAGTGCCTAGAGGCAGTGAAAGCTTACCTACATGCTAAGAATTAATATTTTATGGGAAAGGATCTGAGTTAAAGCCATTATCCATGTCCAAGCAATATAAAACTGAAAAGAAGGCATCTCTTTGCAGAAGGACATTGACTACTTGTCTCTGGAGCCATGTTTGTCCCACAAAACCTGTTTATGGGTGATCCATGAACAGGCAGTGGAATATCGAGCAGACTCTGAGACAAGTTCAGAAGCCATATTCTTGTCTAACAAAGTTGCCTCCCTTTATCAAGCTGCCTCTGTGGTGTAGTCACATTCAAAACAGCATGTGGCACTGACCTGAATGAATTGCACTGTGCAGTTACAACAGCAGCTAGGTGAAAGTTACAAGAGCTCACAATCTGCACAGTTCAGGGCATAATCTCCTCTCTAGCTGGGGGTCAGGGAGAATTTTCCTCCCATTGTACAGACCTGCACAATTCAGAGACATCATTGTGATGAGGAGATTACAAGTTATTATACATTGGTTACTGTTGGAGGCAGGATACTGGAGTAGGTGGATCACTGGTGTTCCGGGGTCTATGGGACAGATGGAATTAAGTTGCCATCCACAATACTGAAAGCAGACATGTAATGTGGTCTCCAGGGGAATAAGACAAAACGGTCCCTCTGTCATATCGTCTATATCTTACCTCTTCCTGGAAGACAGTGGTAGGCCAACTCTGCACATGTCTGATCATCTCATCAATTCTGTCTGTGAAGAGCGAACGCACCACGTCAAATCCTAAGCTGATGGGGCATATCAGCTCCTCCATCACACAGTCCAGGTCAGGCTCTACTCCTTGGCGACAGCAGGATTCCACTGAGCTCTGGACCACCGCTGCCAAGGTAGAAACCCCTCAATTAGCCTGACAGAGTCACAGCGGAAATCAGCTTGCCCTGGATTAATTAGGCTCAAGGAGACAACTGCAGGGTCTTGGAATGTGAAATACTCATCCATCCACCTATCCTTTATTTCGGATGTGCCCATCCCCGCAGTTTCTGTGAATCTAGGGTACCCATCAAATAGCATCTAATCATAAATACTGTAATCAAGATTCACATAAAACAGTACGACATAATGAACTCATCCCCCAATCCAACCTCTCCAGTGGCAGATAATGCTGCACACGCTGCTTAAAATTTCAAATACAATTGAGAGAGTTAGAATTCTAAAGCAAAGTAAATCCCGTGGATTAACAGAAGAGAACCAAACACCCCATCCCTTCACCCCCTTTCCTCTAACCTTGGAGTTTTATAGATATCTGATCCTTTAAAATCAGCATCTGATCCAGATCAGGGCGAATCTTCTTTTCCAATTGAATGTGGAGTTTCTCATTCTCCCTCTGAAAATCCAGGAATTCGCTGGAGACCTGGCTGAGGACCAATGTATAAACCTCCTCTAGGAACTGACCACCCAGAGCAGGGACCAGATCAGCAAAAGGGGAGGAGAAAACAGGAAAAATAAGAGGCATCATACAGGCCAGGTGCAGAGATCAGGAGAAGTTTCTGGTTGTGCTGCTGGGTGCACAGTCTTTGTCAGGTCATTCTGCTTGTAGCTGATTTGTGCACTGTCTTCTACCTATATTACATCTGTAAGCATGGGGCTCTAATTGACTCTTACAGAGCCAGCTGACCCAACTCAAAGGCCAGTCCAATCACTCCTGGGGCATCATTTACTTGGTAGCTACATGTAGACAGCAGGACGCTCTTCACTCCCCACAAATACCCCGTTTAAATTTTGCACAACACACTACATCAAAGGCAGCAGTTTCACAGGAGACATGAAAGGCAGAGGCTGTGAGTTGGATTTTGAGAGCAGTAGCTAGTGGAGCTGTTCTTTGTGTTTATTTGTCTGTCGCAGAGCAAAGTACAAACTCCTAATGTGCTCTCCGAAACCATAGTCTAAAAAGTTAGCTGAGTGTCACTCATTAGTTCCTGAAACATCACTGTTTGGGTTTAGATGTAAGCATTGCTCTGTTGACTTACCTGGCACCAGATCTGTTTCTTCCTACTTTCTGACCCTTTGAGATTTGGGGGGACCTGAGACTGCAGCACTGGAAGCAAATCCTCCATCAGCACATTACTGAGAATCTAAACCCAAAGAAAAAGACCATCTTCATCAAGTTACCAGCACAGAGCATGTATTAAATACTCCAGCTTTGGAATGCTCAGCACTTTACAAACCTCAGGCTCTGTTCCCAGGAGGAGATCCCCTGCTCCGTAACTACTTTTCTCTTGCCTATAAAATCGCACAGCTTCCAGGAAAGCCTCTACTTCAAAGGAGTCCTGTCTCTGTAAAACTGAACCCGAAATACAAGTTAGTCCCAGCAACATAGCTGAGGTTAATCAGAAAAGTCCAATCCACTCTTAGCACACCCAAATCTGGCTATATGTAACTAAGCTTGCTGGTTACAAGCAGTGCTTAAATGCTATGGCAATGAGTGCTATATAAAACCTATGATAGAGACTAACATTACACTAATAACAAAGAAGGGGGAAGAACCTCTGGAAATCTTTGTGGATCTGAATGCACAAGCCTCTCCCTTTAAAGAAATGAAAGCCTAACTGCCTGAACTTGCTCAAATTTAAAAACCATAAATTCAATCCAGGGAAGAATAGAAAATGTAGGAAATTTTTACACTCTTTGGACTTTCATCAGTATCACATTCGTATCTGATTCACTGGGCCCTCAATTCACAGGTGATGCCTCACTGAATGGACTCCACACAATTTTAGGAAAGGATCCTCATGTCAGTAGCAAACTCCTGTGGTCAGCCCCATTTGTAGATGTTGCCTCAGGTCCAGTGATGCAGGCGCTTCCAGGTGTTACCTGTGCTGCAATATCGGATCCCATCTTGAAGGATGGCTTTCCAGGTGTGCTGGGATTTTGCAGAGTTTGTGCAGAAACAGAAGGACTTTCGGAACGGATGGTAAAGGAACAGCAGAAACTCTTCTGGAGGCCCATTTAAGGGGTCTTGGTGGGTGTAGTCAACTTGAAAAGAAAAGCACAGAACATGCTTCCAACGAGTTAGAATTATTTATAGAAATACTGTGTAATGTCTCCACAGCTCTTAATGATCCTAGTGTCTCTCACTGACAGCTGCCATTTTACTGCCAGAAAGAAATCCTGTCTGCTGACAGACACCTGAGCACCAGCAACTTCTAAGATGTCAGAGGGAACTACATGTGATCATTACCTGCTAAGATTCGGCCCATAATTTGAGACATCTGAATGCACTGAGTTAGGCTAGAGACTTGCACAGTCACTTTAAGGCATGTTCATTTTTGTAGTTAGTATTTACTAGAAAATATTGTGCCAAAATTGTACACTAAGGATTTTTTCTATTCTGCCATTAACAAAATCTGTTCTGTTCTGAAAGTGATTATTGAAGTCTCACTTCCTTTCTTCAGCAGACAGGAAAAATTCCTGCTTCATTAGAAATTTTTAATTTGTATTGTATGAAATAAAAAGATTTTACATATCGTTACAAATAGATGGAACTTTTAGGGCACATTGCCACTTTCTTTTCAGAGCTGGCAAGTAGCACTGAGAAATGGAACAGAGCAGCTGTCTCAAATGAGTTCAGGGATTGGCAACATCTCTCTGCATCTGCTTCTAATTTCATGTCACTTCACTGTGAAACCTGGGTTCTTCATCTGGCTGAATAAAGCCCTGTAACCCACCAACAGTACTAAATGTACTCCTTCTAAAGAGAGAAAAAGGAGGGACAGAACAGCATGGCAAAAAGGAAACAGGTTTAAACAGCATGAGGTCCTGAAAACCTTATGTTTTAGAGACATCAGCATGTTCGATTTATTTTGTGGTCTCTAACTTTGAACAGTACAGTAGCCCCATGAGCAATGGAGCCTCTGTGTATGTATAATCAATATTCTTTCTATATGTTGGACTTTGCCAGCCTTACAACAAAAAAGAGAAAGTCCAGAATTCAGACATGGAGCCCTTTCTATTTAGAGGTGGTGTTGCTGAAGAGTTCTTGAAGTCGCTGTTTTGTGTAATGCTGTGAGGGGCCAGTAAGACACTGTTCCCTTCTGGGTTGCGGCACATTTCTCAAATGGGGCACATCACAGACTTACCTACTAATCCCTGGCAGAGACTGTCAATCAGCCTGGTATATTCGCTCAGTGAGGTCACCAGCAAGTATCCAGACAGAGTGGTGGATCCTCTGGGCTTATATCCTCTCCCCTGGGCCTGGAAAAGAAATCCAGACAGAACTATCTTAATGAGGGCTCAAGGGCAGAATTCCTCACACACACCTTGCTGCTAGTATTTAGGGTCAGCAAGTCTCTTTCTCTAAACTGCACTCACTGACAGTATACAGCCACCTCTGGAGGTAGAATTCAGTAGCTGTGTAACAAACACCACACATTCATTTTGGAGAGGAAATGAAGGAGGAGAATGTAATCCTATAAGCCAGGAGGAATTTGGGCAAGGAGGGGGCGCAGAACATAAACTTTCTGAAACAGTGGGACACACTGTCAGATGTCTGGGTGTACGTGTGTCTGCAGGAAACACACCTGAATGGGGTAAGAGTATGTAAGATCCATATACATTTTACAACCCATAAAGTGGGGACAAACGCAGCTGAAGTAGCACATTTACCTCTTTACTATCAAACCACTCCAGGGTATAGTTTCCCAGCAAAATTAAATAACTCTTCTTCCACTTGCAGGTGTCCCCAGTATACTGCATCAGGAATCCCTCATGCAGAAGAGCATCAGGTGGCTTCTGGAGCTGAGAATGGATAAGAGAGGACAGGAAACAAGTCCCAGTGAAAGTGCAGATGCAATTGTAAACTCTTTGGGACAGAGACCATGTCATCTGTGTCTCTGCAGTGCTTAGCACAAGGGGACCCTGACTGGGGACTTTGGCTGCTACCACAATAAAAATAATGGGACAACTGAACGATGACAGCTAGCGGACACTGAAAGCAAATAAAACACCTACATTAACACACAGACACACACACACACACACACGCCCTGTAATTACAGTCAGTAGCTCTGAAGGGGACTTACAAGGTCTTTCAGTCTAACCAGAGGAGAGGTCACAGTTTATCGGCTCCATCTGTGTATATAAAATTATAAAACTGTATGTAGTGTGGAATTGCAGTGTTATAGCCACGTTCATCCCAGGATTATTAGAGAGACATGCAGAGGTGTTAACAGCCCACTTCACCATGAATGGTCTCTTGCAACATGTGTTAACTCCTTATGCTTAACAATCTGTTCCACCTTGTATTTATCTGTAATGCTCTGAGTACCCTTCCCAGACCTGAAGAAGAGCTCTGTGTAAGCTTGGAAACTTCTCTCTTTCACCAGCAGAAGTAGGTCCAGTAAAATATATTACCTCACCCACCTTGTTTCTTTAGTATGGAATGAAAGATAGCAAGTAACACAGAGTGGCAATTTTTAAACCTTCCTAGTGGCAGCAGGGCAGCAGTGAAGATTAGAATTTGGGAGTTGCCACCTCCTATTCCCATGCTCGGGCCACCAGGGCATGTATCCTCATGCTTGATTCATTCAGCAACACACACAATTATGTGTCAGATTAATAGCCCTAAAGAATCTCAAGATGCTAGAGAGAATGAGGGAGGAAGACAAAGTTGTCTTCAGATCAGGGAGAAGACAACAGCTCAGGGGTGTGTGGGAAAAAGAAATCTCCCAGAACACTAGTAACAGCCATTCATTGTCCTCTCTCCAAGCTCACAGCTCCTACAGGAGTCAGTGGGGATCAGTGAGGGAGGGAAAAAGAGGGGGTGGTGTGCAGGAAGAGAAGGCCTTTTGAATTATCTGAAACTTTAGTCAGTCCCTCAAAAGTGAACTGAGCCATCCCACCACTGGCCTCCGACATGCAGAAATTGCCCCTACACACACACAGATCAACCATTGTAATCTGCATTTTAAAATATGTCCCTAAAGACCTATTTCCAGGGCATGAGAAGCCAAAGAAGCCCCTATTGTTAGGTCAGTGATCCAATAAGCTATTACCAACAGGAGAGTGGGGTTTTGGGAGGGAGGGGGGTAGAAAACCTGGATTTGTGCTGGAAATGGCCCACCTTGATTATCATACACATTGTAAGGAGAGGGATCACTTTAGATAAGCTATTACCAGCAGGAGAGTGGGGTAGGGGGAGAGAAAACCTTTTGTAGCGATAAACACCCATTTTTTCATGGTCTGTGTGTATAAAAACATCTGTATTTTCCACGGTATGCATCTGATGAAGTGAGCTGTAGCTCACGAAAGCTTATGCTCAAATAAATTGGTTAGTCGCTAAGGTGCCACAAGTACTCCTTTTCTTTTTACACCCTAGCAAATAATTACATGAGACTGCTAGAGTCTAGGAAGAAGCAGCTGTAGTTTCCATATTACAGCAACTGCTAAGAGAACAGGTTTCAGAGGAACAGCCGTGTTAGTCTGTATTTGCAAAAAGAAAAGGAGTACTTGTGGCACCTTAGAGACTAACCAATTTATTTGAGCATGAGCTTTCGTGAGCTACAGCTCACTTCATCATTTGTTTCTGGGGGAATGGAGCCATGAAAAGGTGCCCTTGGGATCAGGTGTTTGTAGTAGGGGCAGTGTGTCATGTACAGGAGGTGTGATACTTACTTTGCTCTGCAGCAGCTGTAGAGCAGGTTTGCCTTGCGGGTCCAGCTCCTTTGAGACCCGTCTCAGAAAGGTGGTTGCAAGTTGCCTCTGATAATAGGGCATGAAATTCTTCACTGTGGCATCTGTGCGACCTGGGAAGCGAGAACAGAGATGACCATGGTGTTTCAGTGCTCTCCCAAGTGAGGTAATGCAAGCTTCTGTGTCTGATTAGCATTGTTCCTTCACCCAGTAGCTTGTGAATTACCAGTGTGGGCCGCCAAGGATGAGGCCAACAAGTTCAAATCCAGATCCAAACTTATCCAAAGTTCATGAGCACCCCAATGTGGGAGTTCTAATCTGGGCTCTCTCTACACAAATTCTAGACTCATAGGTTCACTGTAAGGCTACAACCAGATTCTAACAGCTACTAATGCTCATCAGAGGAGGAATCAGAACAAACAACATGCAGACAGCCAATGCTGGGGAACCCTTTGACTCTAAAAGTGCCTGGGAGATGCATGCTACAGGCCTTTATGTTCCTCTATTCACTGATGCGTACAGTGTGCCTACCAAACATAAGGAGGAGCATGTTCAGCTGGCATGGGGGAAGGAAACTTGTGTCACCCTGCAATGACTTCTGCAGCTGAGCAAGAAGCAGCAGCACTGATAGGTTCTGACAAGAGATTCCATCTAACCTTCTTTGACCAAGGAACACTGACATGATGCACGGTGTGCAGATGCGGGGCAGGAATCTTCTACTTCCATTGAGGAATGTGGGGAGCACCACAACAGAGGAGCCAGACTTGAGATATAAGATTTACTATCGCATCTCTGATGTTATTACATTTATATTATGGTAGCACCCAAGGACCCCAGTCAAGACTGGGACCCCATTGTGGTAGCTGTTGTACAAATGTAGAACGAGATGCTCCCCATCCTGGAAAGCTTACAGGCCCTGGCCTGACAGTAAGTTTATTTTGGAAGAGTCTTGCCATTGCCCCACCAGCATCTAGTATGGGAAGAACCAGAAGGTTTCTTCCAACCTACAGTCACAGATCATAGATTATCAGGGTTGGAAGGGACCTCAGGAGGTCATCTAGTCCAACCCCCTGCTCAAAAGCAGGACCAATCCCCAATTAAATCATTAAATCATAATATGATTGCCAGACATTTTAGCTTCACACTGTAGAGGTAGCTTAGTGTGATTTTGCAGTAGGGAAACTGAAGCAGAGAAATATGAAGAAACCTTCCCATGGTCAACCACAGCCTGGAGAACCCAGGTACCCCCACTGCCAGTTCCCTATTGTAACCACTAGATCACACTCCTGAACTGCTGTACTTCTACACTGCGGGAAGCAAAAGCCAACCAAAATAGCCTGTGAAAATGGCAAACAGTGAAGCACCCACAAAAGCTTATGCTCTAATCAATTTGTTAGTCTCTAAGGTGCCACAAGTACTCCTGTTCTTTTTGTGGATACAGACTAACACGGCTGCTCCTCTAAAACCAGTGAAGCATTAGAAAGATGGCTCTGAATGTTAGAGGGTCTGATGCAATTAAAAGATAAAAGATTCCTATGTGCCATTGCTTTTCCAAACAGATTCTCTCTATAGTCTAGAAGAGGAGATTAAAACGAGAGAGCAAATTCACTAATAACTGAGAAGCTGTTGAAAGGTCATGCCTGCATTCTATTGTGACCTCAGGCAAAGCGGACAATGCTGTCACAGTATGAATTTCTGAAGATTTCCTGTGATACATTCCCCAGCCCACCCCCCTTTAGCCTGGAGACTCATGAAGAGGCAAAGAGAAAAATGTGGCTCAAACAGTGAGCGGGGGAAAGAATGACGAAAGTATAAAAACAAGACATTTCCCATCTTTCTCTCTCTCTCTCTCACACACACACACACATATAGGAGGGGGACAAGAGAAAGGCACTCAGAGGCCATTCCCACTGTCAGACTAATTGTGTGTGTGTTGCCTGCATATTCTAATGCCTTTGAACTGTTGGCTGATTTACTATGGAAAAGAAAAGTAATCAAACCCTAAATTAGATTTTGTATTTCACAGCCCAAATGTGAGCTCAGTGAGCACTCAGCCAGCATTAGTAGCTTTCCAAAAATTCATAACAAGTTGTGGGATGTGCTCATACTGACCGCTGGAAAAGTCTGCCAGCTTGTGGGAGGAAAGACAATGTATGCTACTGCACTACCCTCTTTATGGAGTCCTGGATTGAATTTGATGGTACCACTAAAGCTGCTTAAACGGACTTGATGGTGGAATTTCCAGTAAAGCCAATGATTGCAGTGGAGATTTCAAGTTCCTTTTGCCACAGCTACTCCGCCAAAGTAACACAAACAGCTTTAGCTGGAGTAACCACATCTGTGACCCAGCATAGCTGATGACCAATGAACCTCCTTTTCCATCACCATGCACCAATATGTGTTGTCATCTGCAGCTCTGCAAAATGAATGCAAACTACTACCAAATCAGAATAGCAGCATTTTACAACTACTTTGCACAGGTGTAAAGGACAACACAAGGTACCAGGCAGGGGACTTTCAGGGCCAACAGATGCAGTCAGTTAAACAGACCTCCCGTGCCCCGCCCTCTACCTCAAATGCAAAAATATGAAAAGTGTGCACCTGAAATAAGCGTGGAAGAGCTTGACACCACTGTACTAAGGCCAGCAAAATGGGCCTCAGGAACATGCTCTTAATAGTGCAAATAAGGCAACCACTTCCAAGGACCTAGGAGACTGATAAGTCAACCTTGGGGGACTGTCTTATTTTTTATCACACCAAATCATTACAGCAAGTTGCACAGAAAAATAGAAGCTGAGATTGAGTCCTCACTCACTCCAACACTTTATGGGAGGGCTCCTCATTTTTTAAAAATTTCCTGTGGGCTCATTCACCCTGCCCAGGGAGATGATGATGCAACAGCAGAAATTTCACCAGAGGTTAGAAGGACTTATCTGTGAGAGTTCACTAACAAAGTGACTCATTGATAAATTGGAGAGGATTCAGAGAAGAGCCATGATAATGATTAAAGGATTAGAAAAAAATGCATTACAGTGACAGACTAAAAACACAATCTATTCAGCTTAATGAAGAGATTAAAGGATGACTTGATTACAGTCTATAAGTATCAATATGGGGAACAAATATTTAATAATAAGCTCTTCAGTCTACCAGAGAAAAGTCTAACATGATCCAATGGCTGGAAGTTGAAGCTAGACAAATTCCAGCTGACAATAAAGTGTAAAACTTGAACAGTGAGAGTAATTAACCATTGGAACAATTTACCAAGGGTCGTGGTAGATTCTCCACACTAACAATTTGTAAATCAAGATCAGATTTTTTTCTAAATGATCTCCTCTAAAAATTATTTTTGGGAAGTTCTATTGCCTGTTTTATAGGGGGTCAGATGATTATCACAATGGCCTTAGAATCTATACATCTACGAATGTGCTAGTGTTTAGTGAAACCATAATAAATACCTCAGGATAGTCATGTCTCTCTTATAAGCATCTCTCACCTGACCTAGATACCCTGTACATGCATTGGCAGCAGTGCCTAATGATCTAGATAGAGATTACGAACTAGTCTCGTCTCCCTGGCCCAGAATTCAGTAATGACTGCTGATGTGCAAACGCACTCTATGTAACAAATACACAAGTTAATTAAAGTTGGGACCCAGGAGAATACTCAACCTGTTGTGGAGCAAAAGGCATCTCCTGTTCTTATTTCCTGCCCGCACTGGGTGTTTTTCCCATTTTACTTGTTTAACCTTGTACGGTCCTTTAAAAATGGCTGTGACCCATGCAGTCAGCTACATTTTGTTTTCCCTGTGGTTCCACACACTTATTACCAGGATGATGGTGGTTATGGATAATATTTTGAAGTAAACCATCACTGGCTAATTTCAGAAGAAACTAGATAAAGGCTCCTGGGGGATGCTGGGCACTGAACTCGCACTGAAGTTATTGGGAGTGGCAGGTGCTCAGCACCTCCCAGCAAAGTGCCCAGCAAAACAAAAGCCACTGAGTACATCCAAGTGATTTTAAACAGAGACTGTAGCTCCTGCAGCGCCACTGTAAGTCAGTCAGTGAGAGGGCAAGCAAGGTACCCGGCCTCGAGTCTATGCTAGCCAGGGTTGCTGGCCCAACAGAAAAAGAACAGGGCTCCATGACAGGTGAACTTAAGCCAGCAACTTCAGCTGGTTAATTCACACTGCAACTCTGCTGTCAGCCTTAGAGGTGGCTATTGCCTAGATGGGAAAGGGATCCACTGAGGAAGACAGTGATCTCCATAAGTGAGGTGATCGAGGAATTATGTTTGGATGACAGAATCCTTTTAGAAAGAGGAGGCTACACCCATGTCAGAGAAGAAACACCACCCCACAAGACAAACAACTTGGCCATAGCTGTCCCTGTTGTATCTAAGAAGGAGTTAATCAAATTGCATTAGGGGTATATTTTGCCCCTTGATGTTTGACATCTGTGTTTTTACATTAGGTAAATACCACCCTAGTCACTTCAGCTGACTTCTTTCTCTCTCTCTTGCTGTATCCTTCACTCACCCTCTACAAGCCAGAGGTTTTTAAAGGTAATCTGAGAACTAACAGTTGTTCGGATTAGACATACAAAACCAAAGTTCTGTCCAGCCATGGTCACTAAAGGTCCTGTGTGCTGTTTGCATGAGCCCAGGCATTAACAATAGCGTCCTGGCCAAACTGCAGCTCAGACCATTACACCCTGCCTGCTCAAACTCGCTCAGGTAGGATCACAGAAATATAAAATGAGAAGAACAGATGCTCCAATACCTGCACCCCTACAGTCACAGGCAGTTACATGGGATACTCCCACCTGGTCCTAAGGTGCTACTTTTCAATGCTCCAGAGGGAACCAAATAACCCAAAGGTCGCTGCCAGGTCTTTTCTTTCTGTCCTAAACTATTGTGTCTAGTTGTGCTGTGAAACTCTGATTTTCAGTTTCCCCATCTGTAAAATAATAAAAGTAATTTTAGTACTAATACCACCAACCTTTCAAGGGAGTTATGGGGCTTATACAAGCCTATCTTACAAGGAGCTGTAAGGCTTAATGAATACTTAAAAAGCACTAAAAGAAAAGGAGTACTTGTGGCACCTTAGAGACTAACAAATTTATTTGAGCATAAGCTTTCGTGAGCTACAGCTCACTTCAAATAAATTTGTTAGTCTCTAAAGTGCCACAAGTACTATGCTCAAATACATTTGTTAGTCTCTACAGTGCCACAAGTACTCCTTTTCTTTTTGCGAATACAGACTAACACGACTGCTACTCTGAAACCTGTCATTAAAAAGCACTGTACTTTTAAAGCCAAGTATCATTACGCTCGCTTTGTTTCACCCATAGGTGCTTGTCCTGGCCCAGTGGAGAATGGATTCTTCTATATATAGTTTGTAAAACACTTTGGAGCTTGGAACACACCTGAAAGAGTCTCCGACACTACAGTAGAGAAATGGCCATGGACAGAATAGGGCTGCAGCACAATTATTGCACAATTAAAAATGTGGTTCCAGTTCCTGTCTACAAGATGAAAGTTTGTCTTAGTTGCATTGTAACCAGATTCTCTGACATGGTAGTTTTGTAGTGTAGACAGGCCCTAAAAACAAAGATGAGTTGTTGGCTCAGATTACGACTCAGCTATTTTCAGACAAATTCTCCTGCTGCCCTTGTGAGCAGAGGCAAACTGGACTGATACCAGGATGGGAACCTTAGTGATTCAGTATCAGATAGATACTCACATATGGTGCCAGGTTGTGATGTACAGCTGGAGCAATGTAGACAGATGTGATAACTTTACTGGTGCCTCTGTGCTCATAAAAGACTCATCAGCTCTGCTGGCAAGCATGGATTCTCAGCACCATATATTATAGCTTGGCATAAATGTGAGTGCTGATATCTAACTGATGGCCAGGCTCCAACTTTTGAATTCCCATACGACACTAAGACTCACAAGTTACGTTACAGAGGTTCACCTGACTGTCATGTCATGTCAAGTTAGATTTGACCACTGTGTAGAACATTGTTGATCCATATTTCTTTCCAGCCTTAATGTTGTGATCAAATAAACAACAGTTCAAACACGGGGGCAGGATCTTTTAACTGTCCCTCCCAACATGGTTGTAGGACTTGTGCATTTTCATTCCTGGTTTGTTTTTTTTTAAAATGTTGTTGCACTCCTGAAAACAGGTGGGGAAAGTCTTCTTTCCTTATTGTAGCAAATCTCTTTGCCATAAGCTTCCCTGCACAGAAGTCAGAGTAAGTAGTAACCACTATATCTGAAAGATCTGTAACATAACTTGTTTGGGACATTTATGTTTCAACTTGCTGTTGTCCACTAGATGAATCTTGAACCCCCTTCTCCAGTCCTCTTTATACAGCATCCCTGCTCCAGGGTTGGATTTATGGTAATCTACCATATTCCATGTCAGGCAACAACCTGCAGATACATCCACCTCAGATTACATGTTTATACATTGAACTAATTGTATGGTTTTATTTTTAAAAGGAACCATCACTCTGGAAATGGTAATCATCAAAGATTTTCCTTACCTCTCAGGTACCTGCGCTGTCTTCCATCCAGTGGACTTGAATACCTTCCTCCCATCTTCCACTTTAATATCTTGCCTGTTTCCAATTCTTCCAGTCAGAGTCATGGGCAGAGAGGAGCTGCCTGGTAAAGTGATTTTTAGGCTTCAAGAGCAGCAGGGATTGTCTTTTTCTGTCACACTCGCCTTCAGATCATCAGCTCATAAATATTCAAATAATGTTTCTGTCTCACGGCAGTCCCTGCACCCACACCCCTACACACAAACAGGCCTTAAAGGGGCAGCAGCACTTAGTCCATGAACCCACACCCTGACACAGAAAGAGGCCTCAAAATATCCTTAAGCCTTTAATGTTAAAAAGGCTGTTTGGAGGTTCTGTTTTTGTTAACCGTGTGGTGTCTTTTGTGTCTGTGCTTGATATAACCCAAGCTCATACAGACTCCCTCCCTCTTGTAACAGGGTGGAACAAGCTCACAGAACATGGACATGATGGAACCTTGATTACACTGAAGAATGCAAATCCCAGATTGATTCAATAAACTGCAAAGTGCAAATTGCAATTTCTGTCCTAGCAAATCCTCTGCTTACAGACCTGAATAAGAGCTTTGCATAAGCTTGAAAGCTCGTCTCTTTCACCATCAGAAATTGGTCCAATAAAAAAATAACCTTACCCATTTTGTCTCCACTTACTATAAAGTAATGCTATGCAAAGGAAACAAAAAAGGATTTCTCTATCAAAGTCCTATTGCACCAAAATTTGGATTTCAGGTGCTGAAGAGTCAAGAGCTATAAACTAACAGGCTGTAATGAACTAATTTATCCACGAATGTCCTACGCTCACTTAGGGCATCCTCCCGCTCTATAGCCTTCTATACACCATCCATACAGAGCATTTCACATGGGCTTCCTCCAACTGCACCAAAAGCCAGAGATAGTTCATCTGCAAACAAAGCACCAGTGACTGAATCTAGCAGTGCCACTGTGGGACTTTTCTGAAGTATTTCTGAACCGAAAGCAACATTTATTTAAAGACTGATTTCGCATAGAAATACCACAGGTCAGTGCTCAGCACCTGCTCTCAACTCTCAGTTCCCTTCTGTACTTTGTTTCTCCTGATTAAGATTAATTCAGTAACCTTCCACTTTTAACATTATGTGACAGCCAGTTTCAGTGATACCCTCCAGGATATGTAGAAATAGGAAATCTTCCACCCTCTCTTTAAGCTGAAGCATTCAGCACTTACATTAGCTCCTGTGCTAGATAAAAAGCAAAATAACCCTTTATGCATGACAGAGCAGTAGGGATGATTAAATGAACAAATATAAAAGGGGCCTGAGAATCACCCAAAAGGTGATCCAGGACCACACAGCAAATGTGAAGAAAAGACATGCTTACAATGTTCTATAAAAAACATCACACACAACATCGGAGGGTAAGATGAAACAAACTTGCTTCTTCAGTATATTAGAGGAATTGTTTCCAGACACTTTCTGAGAACTCGGGTAGCTCAAAAACTGCTTATTAAAACATCCAGCTTGTAAGAGTCCTGAGCAAGGACATGCGCATTTCATGTGTCTGAAGAGATGTGCGTTAGCAGTAACCAGGATTCTGGATGTTCAAAGTCCCATTCTGCACACATGCTCTATGTTAGTTTCCAAGTTTAATATGAATAAAATATGATTTCAGTTCTTTTTTATTCAGACCCAATTCCAAGGAGATCCCCACTTTCTCATGCTGCTTAAATAAATCCATGGCGAAATAGGTAGTTGCATCTTTTCTGTGAAGGATGCGCAATAAGAACCCTACTAATGGGGGTGGGATTGTTATTTAAAATAGTATTAAGGGAGTCTGAAAAATGACTTAACATAGCTGCATAAAGGTACCAGGTGCTTTACAAGGACAGCAAGTCTCATCCTCTGCGCCTAAGAGCGTCTATCCTCCGTGCCTAATCCTGGAAGGTGCTGTGTGCCTTCCAGTCCAACAAAAGGCGATAGGAATTCAGCACCTCACAGACATAACATTTGGTAAGATATTTGGTAGATACAGAGGGGGACTGCTCAAGGCACAGGGGGAAGTATGAGGTGAACCCACACCCTGAGTGAGAGAAAGATGAAAGCAGCAGTAAAGCAAGAGGATTGACCTTAAAGGCTGGGGGAAAAAACAAAACAAAAAAGCTTCCAAGTCCCCCAACCCAGCTTTCACTCAGAGTCAGAAGAAGCAGCAAAGTACAGGTGCATTTCCTCCTCACAGTACTGTTAGTAAATCTGTTTCCTGTTTAGTGTGTGCACTGCAGCTGCCTTCAGACAAGAGAGTCTGAGCAAAGGAGTGGTAAGAACCCCAGGTATGAATATTTTTTATTCAGTGTGTTAGAATCTATCTGGATCTCTGTAAACTAACTTTAACAACTTAATGGAAGGGTAAAGAGTACGGCTCACTAACAAGCCCCACAATCTGCCCAGCCTACTGGAATTCATGCCCAAAAAGAGAAGATTGTGGAACACAAATCGGGGAGAAGCCCCAGAACCATGCAGGAGACGCATGGAGGTTTTTTTCGGGGGGAGAAGGTGGCATGTTTATACAGGACTGGTTGATGAGAAGGGACATTGAACTGTGGGTTTGATCCATTAATGGAGGTATAAAGACTTGTCATCCTAATCCCCTGGCAGTGCTCTCTCTCTCAGCTCTACCTGGATGAAAGGAAAGGAATACATCCGTGGAAGGAGAAGACGTAGATGTTCTGGATCATAGTACTGGTTTCAATCTCTCTTTGCTTGCAGACAAATGCCCATCAAAGTTCTGTCCAGCTTCTGCATATCACATTTACATAATATGTATGATATCTAAGGTTTAGAAATCCTAACTCCTACGTTCTATTCCCAGCTCTGCCAGTTTTGCTGTGGATCTAAGGCAAGTCACTTACCTTCATTGCCTCAGTTTCTCCAACTGTAAAATGGGACTAAATAATATTTATTCCCCTTTGTAAATCACTTGGATTTACACATATGATTTACACATATATATGTGTATATGTGTAAATTTACACATATATATGTGTATAGCATCCATGATCTCTTGGATGCTATATATGTGTGAAGCAGTAGCAGTATTATCACCAGCGTCTAGCCTTGGTTCCAGAGAACAAAAAGCATGAGCGGCAGCTCTAAGGCCAATGTAACATTCATCAGCTCTGTGGCAGATTATTCTTCCTCCTGGACTGACTGCAGTCCTAGGAGTATGTTCCTGAGAATTTAATGCTGACATCAGCGGAAATAGTCACAGACGAACAGAAGGACACAAGGCCATGACTGACTGAAATGCAAGATGACAAGAAGCTAAAATGTATGGTTCTCTCATATCTCACTAACACAAAGTGCATCTATGAGGATCTTCAACATATACGATCCTGTAGCACCCAGATTTATGCACAACATAATGGAACCAATCAAACAGGGTAACTCTGGCCAGTAGCCAGCGCAAACCTGAGGAGAGAACCTCTCCACAGAGAATCCATTCACAAACAGTGTAACCAGGGGCCAAAAACATGCAAGTAGTACTGATGTCCATGTTCTATGATGGACCAGGTCCACTGGACAATGAAAAGATAACAGTGGAGAGAGAACAAATCCTGAAAAGGGTCCACAAAACTGTCAAGTGAAACAAAAATTAATCCTGACTCCAAAGTTGTTTGGAGTATTTCCAAGGAAACATTTGTTAGCAGACCTCTGACTTCATCTCCTTACCTGCATCACTTCCCCTAAAGGAGTATAAATAGAGTCAAGGGTTTCCCAAATCACAAGGCTGTTCCTGCAGCCTCTCCTCACAAGAATAAGGACTGAAAGATCATGCCTTTAGTTGATATTTAAGCAAGAAGTACTACCTGAAGATAAAACAAGCAAGAGCCAAAAAACTGAAATGTACATCTTTAATATTGTGCATTCACTTTACACCACATTAACCATTCACAAGACAGACTGCATCATACTGTCCACCTCTGCAATCTCCAACATTTCCATTTGCAGCTAGAGACCAGCTTTGAGAGTCTTATAGCTCCCCTCCCCGACCACTGATTATTACAGTGCTCCACAAAGTACCACTTGCTTAAAAAAAGAGAAACAAAAGACAGTGTTAGTTTAGTGCCACATTCAAGTACTATGACCAGAGTCCTCAATCTGGAATGTTGTAGAGCTGGCTCGATGCAGGAACTGCAGCCAGTGCTCCTGAATCGCCACCCTGAAATCCAGCCAAGTATTTGGTTCTACAAGATAGAGTGCTTCTCAAAGGGAACAGTCAACTCCCTGGCTGCAGACTCATCCAGAAACCAGTGCAGCTTCCCAGTATGAGGCTGGACAAGAGCAGCAGGGAGAGGGTTCTCCTCATCGCCTTCCAAAATACGCTGTGCAAAGAAACAGGGCATTAGCACTGCCAGTCCCACTAATCCAGGGAGATCATAGTGCAATGAGACAGTCATGGAAGCGTTCACCATGCCAAACAAACTCTCTAGAACTGGCCAAAAATTTTCCATCATAATGTTTTTTCAGTGGGAAATGGCTTTAACTAAATGGATGGATTGTTTTTGTTAAATTTTGGGTTTTCATCAATCAACAATTTTCTTCATTTTTAAACCTTACCTTTAAGATGGCAGCTTTACTTTCCCCTGTAGCAACGAACACAACAGTCCGTGCTGCATTCAGAACAGGCAGTGTTAGAGTTATCCGCTCAGGTGGTGGCTTCGGAGAATCACTAATAGAGGCAACTATCTTCTCTTTTTCCTGCCATGAAAAATAAAGCCGAAGTGTGAAAATTGATCAGAATAGTGCAGAGATAGGAGTCAAAGCAAAGGACAGCCTCACCAAACTCAAGCTTGTGCTATTTGACTATGACTAAGCAGCCAGTAAAAGGAGACCAAAGATCATTATCAGGCCTCAGATCCTGGTCAGCATTAATCAACATTAAAGTTTTCTAGGCAGACTCATGCATCCATGTATAGCTCCACTGAAGTCAACAGGGCTCCATATGGGCACAGGGTTACACCCATATGAATCAGATTGCAGGATCAGGGCTAAGTGAAGAGGAAAGAGTCAAAGTCCATCTGCTTTTCCTCTTGTTCCCACTTTCCTTTTTTAAAAATCACATTCCAAATACTGGCAACTGCCAAGTTCTAATGCCATAACTCAGAGCTGTTCATCAAACTCTTAAAACAACCACACACGCATGCACTCAGACTTACCACCTAGAGACAAACTAGAATGGAAAAAAAGCCCTGTCACAGTTGTGAACAAAATGCACATTCTTATCCCAGTATACAGTATCCACTCCCTGGGTCTGTAAAATCACCTGCAGAAGGGGATGGTCTGGAAATAGGGAGCAGGTGTGACCATCTGGCCCTATTCCCAAAATCAGCAGATCAAAGACAGGCATGTTTTCACCTTGAAAAGCCTGCAAGAAGGAACAAAAACCCAGACAGAGGAAAGCATAAATTAGGACACTGAACAGAAAAAGGAGATATCACTGCAAAAGTATAAATCACATCAGGAATAAGGGTGTACAGCTGCTGAACACAGGGCGCTCATACGCTGCAATGAATTTCTGTTCACATATACAGCTTTCTGGCATCTCACAACTGAACACACTGTCACAGAATGCAGCTGGGTTACAATGGCAGAAGTTCAGCAGTAGGTTGTACACCTTTGATTTAGCAACCAAACACATTATACATCATTAGTTTAAAAACAGCATACACATTCCACTAGAAAGTCTCCCCACTAACACACACCATCTTCACCAGCTAAAGAGTCCCCTCCCTGAGTACAAGCACCACATATACACCACAGTAAACACATCTCATCCACAGAGATATTTTTTTAAAAAAATCATATAGAACATAAAAATGAACAACTTAAATTTCTTTAATCTTATCAGCATTCCAGTCTATGCAAGTGGACACCAATTCCTGGGTTCCCAAGATGGCCTCCCCAGTTTCTTTTGGGAATTCAACATCTTGGTCAACTCAGGAGTGATCTTGTTAAATTAAAAAAATGAGGAGTCCTTGTGGCACCTTTGAGACTAACAAATTTATTTGGGTATAAGCTCTCGTGGGCTAGAACCCACTTCATCAGATGCATGGAGTGGAAAATACAGGAGCAGGTATAAATACATTAAAAGATGTGATTTGCCTTACCAAGTGTGAGTTCAGTCTAACAAGATATTGATAGCAGGATACCAAGGGTGGAAAAATAACTTTTGAAGTGGTAATGGCAGTGGCCCATTTCAGACAGTTGACAAGAAGGTGTGAGTAGTAGGTGGAAATTAGTATTGGGGAAATTAGGTTTAGGTTTTGTCATGACCCACCACTCCCAGTCTTTATTCAGAAGGCCACTAGCCGTCACCTACAGCCACCAACTAAAACCTCTCCAGTGCATCATCAGGGATCTACAGCCTATCCTGAAGGACGATCCTTCACTCTCACAGACCTTGAGGGACAAGCCAGTCCTCGCTTACAAACAGCCCCCCAACCTGAAGCAAATACTCTCCAGCAACCACACATCACAAAGCAAAAACACCAACCCAGGAACCAAACCCTGCAACAAACCACGATGCCAACTCTGTCCACATATCTATTCAAGGGACACCATGGCCCACCTTGATTATCATGCACATTGTGAAGAGAGTTGTCACTTTGGATGGGCTATTACCAGCAGGAGAGTGAGTTTGTGTGTAGGGGGGTGGAGGGTGAGAAAACCTGGATTTGTGCTGGAAATGGCCCAACTTGATGATCACTTTAGATAAGCTATTACCAGCAGGACAGTGGGGTGGGAGGAGGTATTGTTTCATGATCTCTGTGTGTATATAATATCTGCTGCAGTTTCCACGGTATGCATCTGATGAAGTGAGCTGTAGCTCATGAAAGCTCATGCTCAAATAAATTGGTTAGTCTCTAAGGTGCCACAAGTACTCCTTTTCTTTTTGCGAATACAGACGAACACGGCTGTTACTCTGAAACCCATCATAGGACCTAACCACATCAGCCACACTATCAGAGGCTCGTTCACCTGCACATCTACCAATGTGATATATGCCATCATGTGCCAGCAATGCCCCTCTGCCATGTACATTGACCAAACTGGACAGTCTCTGTGCAAAAGAATAAATGGACACAAATCTGACATCAGGAATCATAACATTCAAAAACCAATAGGAGAACACTTCAATCTCCCTGATCATTCAATAACAGACCTGAAAGTGGCAATTCTTCAACAAAAAACCTTCAGAAACAGACTCCAACATGAAACTGCAGAACTGGAATTAATTTGCAAACTGGACACCATCAGATTAGGCCTGAATAAAGACTGGGAGTGGTTGGGTCACTACAAAACCTAAACCTAATTTCCCCCTACTGTTACTCACACCTTCTTGTCAACTGTCTGAAATGGGCCACTCTCATTACCACTTCAAAAGTTATTTTTCCTCCCTGGATATCCTGCTGTCAATTGAATCATCTCTTAGACTGACCTCACACTAGGTGTTTGTTAGTCTCTAAGGTGCCACAAGGACTCCTTTTGTTTTTGCTGATACAGACTAACACAGCTACCACTCTGAAACTTGTATAAGTTTGTTCCAACAGTATTATGTGGGGACTTTTGGGAAGATTATAAGCAGTCCATCACTTTGGAGCACAAGGATTATTACAGAAAGATAATTTTGGACAATAGGACTGAATTTAGGTTTTGTACTCGCAAAAAATAAAGGTTTTACAGATTCTATGATTAACAAACATTTTACTGACTTTTCTGCATTTTAAGTAGCACATTCCTGGGTGTGTGAGGAACATTAACATTCCCCTCCAGCGTTGCCAATTTAGAAACAAAAACTTCATGTTAATACGTGAAAACTAGTCTGAATTAATTCTCCTAGCTAACTGAAGTGCAGGAAGAAAGCAAGTAACATTAGCAATAAAAAGAAAATTGTTTAAAATTCTCTGTTTGAATACCAGCAAGAGTTATTGGTAACACAGCTGGGGAACTTATTTAGTAAATTAGTGACTTTCACTCCTACTTGAAGAAGTTGGATATACAAAACAAAAACTTTCCACTGAACCTCTTTTAACTTCTCAGCATAGTCTGAAGCAGCCTCTTCTACAGGTAGTGAGGGGTTAATTATAACCACTTGATTTTCTGGGATGGAGATCTTGGAGAGGAGGTGAGTCTGAAATAAATAATTAAGATTCTCAAAATTCTAACCAAGAAGTTGAGCTATATTGTTTTACACAATGGGATTTTTCCCTACTCTCAATTAACAAAATCAGAGTACATTTACTTTCATAACTTTTGGAGACAACAGCATCTGCTGGTGAATGGGAATGTCAACAGGAACCAAAGATCCTAAGGCCTGATCTACGCTTAAAAGTTAAACTGACATAGCCAGGTTGGTCAGGGTGTGGGGAAAAAGCACACACCTGAGCACTATATTAAAACCCACTGCAGACACAGCTTTGTCCATGGAAAAATGTGTTCCCTTGGTCTTAGCAGGAAAATCTAGAATTGTTGCAACAAACGTCTTCTCCACATTCCTGCCCCGGTATCTCCCCAGGGGGTTTTCCCGCGTGCGGGGCGGGTCCCCGCAGCCCCCTCACCTTGTAGGCACCGTACGTGCTCTCCGGGTCCTCCACGGGCACCAGCCGCTCGTCGCAGAAGGCCAGGACCCAGCGGGCGGGGGCAGCGGGGCCGGAGAGGGCGGCGGCCGCGGGCAGCTCCTGGGACAGGATCCGCACCAGGCTCCCGCCCGACAGCCCCAGCGAGAAGCGGCCGCCGGACTCGGCCGCCCGCTGGGCCACGAGCTGCGCCAGGGAGGAGCCCAGCTCCTGCGGGGAGGGGAACACCGAGATGTGGCGGGGCACGAAGCCAGGCATGGCAGGGCCGGAGGCGGTGGGAGCAGGGGACGGGGCGAGGCAGCAGTCGGGCCGGGGGGTGCTGGGCGGAGCGGAAGTTTGGGCAGTTACCGAGAGACAGCCGGAAGGGGGGAAAGGAACCAGGAACACCGTGCGGAGAGGGACGAACATCACGGGCCACACCAGGAAGCGGGGAAGGAAGGGGAGGACTTAGAGCGCGCACAACACCGGACGTGATGTGCGGAAACGCTGCCAAGGTGCGAGACTCGGTCGTAGGCGAGGGGCGCCTCAGGCGGGAACGGGGCCCTACCCCGTGCGAGTCTCCAGGGCCCGGGGGCAGCTTCGCCCGTAGCGGGGGCGAGGTTTCTCCGTCCCCACCAGGGCAGGCGCGGCAGCCCTAGTTGTTCCAAGCAACGGCGGGCGTCTGAGTGCCCAGCTTGGACTCGTTCGACGCTTGCAAGCTTTTCTCCACCCTCACACAGGCTAGAAACTTATTTCAAACGGCAAAACTCTCATGTCGAGAGCTGGGGCTTTACCGAAAACACAAAATATCACCAGACTCCCTGTCCCAAGGTATTGCTTAGTCCTCAGAACGGGCCAGTGCCACCCACAGGGTCCATCTGAGGCAGTGAATAGTTCCTCAAGAAGGACCCCACCTTCCCCCATCCAGACAGACTCCCCTACCCCACATGCACCTGTTCTCACCCCTTCTCATCCCCCTCAATCCATCGAAAATACTGTTGTGAAAAATCATCTTTCTAGGCTATCGCTTTGAACCCCTCTCACCTCTACGCTGCCCTCTTCAATTATAAACAGTAAAAGTCAGCAGTCAATTTAATGGATTGGATGTTCTGGTACAGAAGAGCCCATCACACCAAATGGAAACGAATGAAAGTTACACTGATTCTAAGTTTGTTTTAATGTGTTTGTTTTTATTTCTGAGTTTGGTAAAACAAATAATAGTTAGACAATATAGTGATCAGACTGAAAAAAATTTTGTTTTAAGAGTTTAATTAGTCAATACATGGTCCTTTAAACTACAAGAAACTTTAGTATATTTAAAGTTATAGCCTGCGGCTGGTCAGCTCAGTTCCCAAGCTGCAGACTCCCTCATTTTCTTTTTGAGCATGTTATAGTTCCAGATAACTAGGTTCATTCTTACCATAAATGACTTTTTTTAGTGCCTGTCCTGATAAAAAGGCACATTCCAGATTTTAAAAATCAGTATTTAAACCAGTTTCAGAGTAGCAGCCGTGTTAGTCTGTATTCACAAAAAGAAAAGGAGGACTTGTGGCATCTTAGAGACTAACAAATTTATTTGAGCATAAGCTTTTGTGAGCTACAGCTCACTTCATCGGATGCATTCAGTATTTAAACCATTAGTGATGGTCCAGTTTCTTGAGTGCATTAAACATTAAAACAATGTGTTTCAAAAGCATCCGCAAGACTTTATAAAAATATTTTAGATGAAGCATTAACTCCACCAGAGAAAGGGCAGAATAAAATTTTTTCTTATGTTCCATGTAGTGTTATTGAAGTACTGTAATTGGAACTGCCCAGGGTGAAACAGAACAGAATGACAGGTTTCAGAGTAACAGCCGTGTTAGTCTGTATTCGCAAAAAGAAAAGGAGTACTTGGGGCACCTTAGAGACTAACCAATTTATTTGAGCATAAGCTTTCGTGAGCTGCAGCTCAATCGTGAGCTGTAGCTCACGAAAGCTTATGCTCAAATAAATTGGTTAGTCTCTAAGGTGCCACAAGTACTCCTTTTCTTTTTACAGAACAGAATATGGTCCTTCCAGTATAAATTGCATAAAAGGTACTAGTCCACTGAAAGTTCCTTTAAGGCATCACATCGCTGGATACACCAGCAGTAGCTGCCACTACCAGATATGGTAAGTTCAAATGCCTCTAAAACAAGGGAATAATCAGCTGCTCGGGACGACACGATTAGTCCCAAAGCCCTGAGGTAAGTGGGGAAGTGGGATACCGGAAGGAAGCACGAGCAGGAGCGCGCGAGAGGGGAGGGCTCCTGCCTCATACTGAGGAAGAGGGACGATCAGCGAGTTATCTCAAGTGCCTACACACAAATGCAAGAAGCCTGGGAAACAAGCAGAGAACTGGAAGTCCTGGCACAGTCAAGGAATTATGATGTGATTGGAATAACAGAGACTTGGTGGGATAACTCACATGACTGGAGTACTGTCATGGATGGATATAAACTGGAAGGACAAGCAGGGCAGAAAAGGTGGGGGAGTTGCATTGTATGTAAAGGAGCAGTATGACTGCTCAGAGCTCCGGTATGAAACTGCAGAAAAACCCGAGAGTCTCTGGATTAAGTTTAGAAGCGTGAGCAACAAGGGTGATGTCATGGTGGGAGTCTGCTATAGACCACTGGACCAGGGGGATAAGGTGGACGAGCCTTTCTTCCGGCAACTCACAGAAGTTACTAGATCGCGGGCCCTGGTTCTCATGGGAGACTTCAATCACCCTGATATGTGCTGGGAGAGCAATACACCAGTGCACAGACAATCCAGGAAGTTTTTGGAAAGTGTAGGGGACAATTTCCTGATGCAAGTACTGGAGGAACCAACTAGGGGCAGAGCTCTTCTTGACCTGCTGCTCACAAAAAAGGAAGAATTAGTAGGGGAAGCAAAAGTGGATGGGAACCTGGGAGGCAGTGACCATGAGATGGTCGAGTTCAGGATCCTGACACAGGGAAGAAAGGAGAGCAGCAGAATACGGACCCTGGATTTCAGAAAAGCAGACTTTGACTCCCTCAGGGAACTGATGGGCAGGATCCCCTGGGAGAATAACATGAGGAGGAAAGGAGTCCAGGAGAGCTGGCTGTAATTTAAAGAATCCTTATTGAGGTTACAGGGACAAATCATCCCGATGAGTCAAAAGAACAGTAAATATGGCAGGCGACCAGCTTGGCTTAACAGTGAAATCCTTGCTGATCTGAACACAAAAAAGAAGCTTACAAGAAGTGGAAGATTGGACAAATGAGCAGGGAAGAGTATAAAAATATTGCTCGGGCATGCAGGAGTGAAATCAGGAAGGCCAAATCACACCTGGAGTTGCAGCTAGCAAGAGATGTTAAGAGTAACAAGAAGGGTTTCTTCAGGTATGTTAGCAACAAGAAGAAAGTCAAGGAAAGTGTGAGCCCCTTACTGAATGAGGGAGGCAACCTAGTGACAGAAGATGTGGAAAAAGCTAATGTACTCAATGCTTTTTTTGCCTGTGTCTTCACGAACAAGGTCAGTTCCCAGACTATTGCACTGGGCAGCACAGCCTGGGGAGGAGGTGACCAGCCCTCTGTGGAGAAAGAATTGGTTCAGGACTATTTAGAAAAGCTGGACGAGCACAAGTCCATAGGGCCGGATGCGTTGCATCTGAGAGTGCTAAAGGAGCTGGCGGATGTGAGTGCAGAGCCATTGGCCATTATCTTTGAAAACTCATGGTGATTGGGGGAGGTCCTGGACAACTGGAAAAAGGCTAATGTAGTGCCCATCTTTAAAAAAGGGAAGAAGGAGGATCCTGCGAACTACAGGCCAGTCAGCCTCACCTCAGTCCCTGGAAAAATCATGGAGCAGGTCCTCAAGGAATCAATTCTGAAGCGCTTAGAGGAGAGGAAAGTGATCAGGAACAGTCAGCATGGATTCACCAAGGGCAAGTCAGGCCTGACTAATCTAACTGCCTTCTATGACGAGATAACTGGCTCTGTGGATGAGGGGAAAGCAGTGGACGTGTTGTTCCTTGACTTTGGCAAAGCTTTTGACACGGTCTCCCACAGTATTCTTGCCAGCAAGTTAAAGAAGTATGGGCTGGATGAATGGACTATAAGGTGGACAGAAAGCTGGCTAGATTGTTGGACTCAACGGGTAGTGATCAATGGCTCCATGTCTAGTTGGCAGCTGGTATCAAGTGGAGTGCCCCAAGGGTCGGTCCTCGGGCCAGTTTTGTTCAATCTCTTCATTAATGATCTGGAGGATGGTGTGGATTGCACCTTCAGCAAGTTTGCAGATGACACTAAACTGGGAGGAGAGGTAGATACGCTGGAGGGTAGGGATAGGATACAGAGGGCTCTAGACAAATTAGAGGATTGGGCCAAGAAATCTGATGAGGTTCAACAAGGACAAGTGCAGAGTCCTGCATTTAGGACGGAAGAATCCCATGCACAGCTACAGACCAGGGACCGAATGGCTAGGCAGCAGTTCTGCAGAAAAGGACCTAGGGGTTACAGTGGACGAGAAGCTGGATATGAGTCAACAGTGTGCCGTTGTTGCCAAGGCGGCCATTTTGGGCTGTATAAGTAGGGGCATTGCCAGCAGATCGAGGGACGTGATCATTCCCATCTATTCGACATTGGTGAGGCCTCATCTGGAGTACTGTGTCCAGTTTTGGGCCCTACACTATAAGAAGGATGTGGAAAAATTGGAAAATGTCCAGCGGAGGGCAACAAAAATGATTAGGGGAGTGGAACACATGACTTATGAGGAGAGGCTGAGGGAACTGGGGATGTTTAGACTTCAGAAGAGAAGAATGAGGGGGGATTTGATAGCTGCTTTCAACTACCTGAAAGGGGGTTCCAAAGAGGATGGATCTAGACTGTTCTCAATGGTAGCAGATGACAGAACAAGGAGTAATGGTCTCAAGTTGCAGTGGGGGAGGTTTAGGTTGGATATTAGGAAAAACTTTTTCACTAGGAGGGTGGTGAAACACTGGAATGCGTTACCTAGAGAGGTGGTGAAATCTCCTTCCTTAGAAGTTTTTAAGGTCAGGCTTGACAAAGCCCTGGCTGGGATGATTTAGTTGGGGATTGGTCCTGCTTTGAGCAGGGGGTTGGACTAGATGACCTTTTGAGGTCCCTTCCAACCCTGATATTCTATGATTCTATGATTAAAATGAGAAAATAATCCATTGTTAGGACAGGTGGAGTACAGCACACATGCACCTGTGAAAGTCAATCCCTTTAATTCTCCAATTTTAAGAGTTACATTTAGTTCTAATTGTGGTAAAAGCTCAAGGAAAACAAGTACATCAGAAATGTCTGTTAATGGACTTGCCCACATTAAACAGAAAATAAAATTGTAATTGAGGTTGGAGTAGACATTAAAATTATTATGTTCCTATTTGTCTTGTCATATGTGGCCTTCATTGGTGTTCAACAATTGCCACTCATTTCCAGCAGAGGGCAGCACAATTTAAAGATGAAAACTACCAGTAAATATAAAAATAAAATTAAAGAAAATACACAGCAACATTACAATTAACTTTTCCTAAGACCTCACATTAGCATTAAAAGGTGTAACATTACCATGTGACTCCTCTGTCAAGACCTGCCATTTACCTCATTGTTACCTAGCCCAGTAACAAGTTTAAATACATTGTTTGTTCACTGGCATAATGTCCCTAGGCAGAGTTTCAGAGTAACAGCCATGTTAGTCTGTATTCGCAAAAAGAAAAGGAGTACTTGTGGCACCTTAGAGACTAACCAATTTATTTGAGCATGAGCTTTTGTGCTGTGCCCCTAATTATGCTTTTTAGCCATTTACACCCAATCTACTTTCTTCAGTGAACTAACAACCTATTTATTCTGCAGACCACAGTTTGTGAAGATTCACAGACTGCACTCCAGGGGTCAACAATCTGATTAATTCCCAGTCCTATTTTTATTTATTATTGTAATGCCTAGACCCCCAGTCATGGACCAGGACCCCATTGTGCTAGGCCCCATTATACAAACAGAATACTTTAGGTAAATGAATGATAGACACTTCAGAGCGAAACTTCCCACTACAGCGAATCTTAGATGTGTAGTTAAAAAAGAGAAATGTGAGGTGGGACAATCAAAGGCTCTACCTGAAGAAAATAATGCTACTAACTAAAGGTCTATAGATAGCAACATAAAGTTGAGAGATAAAGCAGAAGGAAACTTGCTCAGGGCATATCATTTCTGTTCAGTTACATCCTCAGGATGTTACAATAAATAATTCAGACCATAAACACCTCCCATGTTGCACAGAGTCCCTCAGTTTGTAGTGGTTACAAAGAGAAAAAAATATCTCTAGATACAGAACTGTAGAGAAATGGCATATCTATGCCCAGGATAGGAATAGCTCACAAATTAATGTGATTAAGACATGTGAGGACATCATCCTACACCCCAATGAATTTGTCACGGTTGCCAATGCATTGCAAGAGGGCCTTGCACTACTTATCTAGCAGGAATCCCTCGCTTTCACAGGCAGGGTCCCTTCTTAAACTAGTCAGTAGCATTTCCTGCAAGACACACATCCCAGACCAGATCACAGAGTGACCTTTCTGGCACGGATCCTCTCAAAGAGGCACTCATTCAATGGAACATATTTTCCCAACTTTAGATCAAGAAAATATAACCGGTCTGATGTTTGATGAGGGTCAAATCCTTCTCTCTGTAAACGGGTTTTCTGGATTTTGAACGTGCCTTGGAAAAGAGAAAGAAAACACTAAAGTAAAAATTTTCAGAGCTGGAAACCCATGGAAATGGAGTTAGGAAGATAAATGTGAACCAACATAGTACTTGTTATTAGCGTTAAACCTAGGAGCCAGATACTTCTCACCACCATAAACCAGAAGTAACTCCACTAGCTGGTATAAGACACGATGAATCAGGCCCTAGATCCCTTGGGATCAGTACAAAAGACAAATCACAATCCATTCATGGTATACGTGCTACAAACCCCATAGCTTTTGTTTCTTCTTTCTCCACCAACCTCTGACAGTACAGGATCTGTGCAATTTCAGTTGTGCATTGTGTTCTTGACCTAAGTTAGTGGTCACCAAACTGTGGGGCATGCACTCCTGAGGGGGGCATGGAGGAATGTTTAGGGGTTGGGGGGGGGTAGCATGGTAGAGCCTGGGCCAGCCCCCATGGTGGTTGGGAAGGGAGTACCACCCAGCTCTGCTCTGCCCCAGCCCCAGCTGCACGTCCAGTCCCAGCTCCCAGCTGCAGGCCCCTGGCTGCAGGCCCCCAGCAGAGGCCCCAGCCAGGGGTGGCAGGTTTGTAGAAATTTTGGTGGTGCCCAGAACCTGCCCCTTCCAAACTCCAACCCCCACCTGCCTAAGGCTCTGAGAGGAAGTTTGGGTGGGGGGAGGAGGTTTGGGGTGCAGGCCCTGGGCTAGGGCAGGGGAGTGGAGTGCAGGCTCTGGGAAGGAGTTTGGGTGCAAAAGGGGTGAGAGGTTGGGCTCTGGGAGGGAGTTTGGGTGGGGGAGGGGGTCTAGGGTTCATGATGTAGGACGGGGCTCAGGGCTGGAGCAGAGGGTTGTGGGGGGTGAGGGCTCTGGCTGGGGCTGTGGGCTCTGGGGTGGGGCAGGGATGAGCTTGGGGTGCAGGCAGGCTGCCCTGGGGCTGGGGCCAGAAAGGACGACTCCCCCAGCCCTCTCCCCACCGGCAGCAGTGAGCTCTGGGGGAGGGGCCCCCCTCTCCCCCCTGGCAGCACACTCACCTTGTACCACTGTCATTGCACGTGTTCCATGGGCCCCTCTCAGGTCCAGGAAGCCCCCTCGCCTTCCCTGTGGTGGGTGCCGGGAGGGCTGCCATCACATGTGCCCCTCCTCCCCTGCTGCTGCCCTTCATTGTAGCCTCAATGGGGGTGAGGGATGGGTCTGCCCCTTGCCCAGCGTGGGGCAGGAGCGGTGACTGAAGGCAGGGGGGCCCCCTGTGCTGGTGGAGGGTCCTGCTGGAAAAGGGAAGGGTCCTAGGCAGAAGGGCAGGGTCAGGGCAGCCTGCCCTGCCACTGGTGGATGGGGGGCACTAGGACCCTGAATCAGCAGTTGATGCCAGAAGCCAGCAGGGCGGAGTCAGCCTGGGGCTGCAGGGGAGAGGCCAGGAGGCTCTGGGGGCCAGGGGAGGTGCGCGGGGGCAGCAAGTGGGGGCCAGGGGACACTTGGGGGAGGTGCGGGGGCGGGGGGGATTGCAGTCAGGGCCGGGGGAGAGACCTGGCCCCAAACATGGGTGGAGCTGGGCCCCAAATATTGCTGGAGCCCGGACACCATAGGCCCATACAACTCGCGGCCCCTGGCCCCAGCTCCAGCGCTGGCCCTGCTCCTGGCCAACGCCCAGCCACCGACTCCCAACCGTGGTGGGGGAGGAACTAGGTAAGGGGAGGGGCATGCAAACAAAAAATTTGGGGACCACCGCTATAGCCCAAACCTTCATTACAGGGACATTGTGAGACATTGTTCATGTTTGTAAAAAGACCTCAAGATGCAATGTGCCGTATATTGCAGGTGTTGTAAAAATGTAATATTTGGACTCCTCTAAGTGCTGTCCGTAGCACTGAATCCAAGTGGCAATGTTTTGAGGAATTCAGTGGCTCAGTTAAACCTATTTGCTGCTTTAAAGATTATGGTATGTGGAAAGAGTGGAGGTGGGAACCCTGATGCTTTAATTACAAGGTCAGTCTTTAGCTGTCACGTTGAAAATCTAACCAACATCTTCCTGGCTGCAATGACTGACAGCACATCCCTTAGAATAAGGCTGAGATACACCAGGAAGATCAGCCTTTTGATGCAGCTGGTAGTTACTGCACAGTGGTATTTAATTTTGCCATTTAATTTTCAGTTTGCAAGTCCATGTAGCTTCCGTCTAATAATTAATAAAGGCTCTTATTCAGGTTTGTAACTATTTCACAATCTCAATCTTGTGTCATACTGGTCTGTTGTTTCTGCCATCTAGAGTTGGTTGATATTTACTACGTGTGAGCTATGTAATTTCTTGCTTCCACTTCTGCAAAAGACTAAAAAAGAATTCTCCTGGAAAAGAGACAACAGCCACCTCTAAAGCTGTTTAATCAGCTGACCAGGCAGTTAGTCAGAGTATGAGAAAGTGTGAATGTTTGCAAAATCTCCATCATGAATGAGGGCAGATGATCAAGGCAGTAAATAGTCTGTGCAAGATGGAGTAACTAGGGCAATTATACTTCACACCTCAGTGGTTCAGGAGCCAAATTAGCAATCAACATTACCCAAAAGAGCCAGAGTCATGTGAATTCACTGTTTCATTTACTATAGTACTAGTAATATTCAAAAAGTATGACAGTGGAAATATTTAGTTTATATATGGAGGTAGTCAAACTGTTGCTTGGGAGCCTCATGCGGTTCTTTTACAGTTAAAGTGCAGCTCACAGAGCTCCCCATGCCCTCACTCCATTCTCCACTTACCAGACTAGGGCCGGAGGGAGTCTCGGGGCTTCTGCCCTTTGGGGAGAGGAGTCTCGGGGCTTCTGCCCCACAGAAGGTGACTGCCGGGGCTCGGGGGTTTCAGCAGGCGCAAGACTGAAGCCCCGAGCCTTGGCAGGTGCGCCCTATGGGGCTGAAGCCCGGCTCTCAAACTTCTGAAGATTATCGCACGTGGCTCAGAGTGTCACTAAGTTTGGCCATCCGAGGTATGTATGTATATGTTATTCTCACAGCAAATAAGTTAATAACTTAAGCTGAAAACTTAATTGGTTAATAACATAGTAAAAGCATTCTGATTGGCTAATAATTAAATCACACAGTGTTTTAATATCAGGTGCTGCAAAGAGCTGCAGGAGACACATTAAAGAGCCACTTGCAGCTTACGAGCCGCAGTCTGAGTATCACTGAGCAAGAGGGTTGCGAGAGCCCCAGTGTGTGTTTAAATTCCTTCAGCAGATTACAAGGACCCTTTCAATTGTTTAATAGGTAGTTATATTTATATTCCCAAGCACTCTACTGTTGGCAAAAGGCTCCCACTGACCCATATATAGAGAGCTGGCCTATACCACAGCACTGAATTCAGAACAAGTATTAGAAAGCACAAAAATCATTTCCTCTGCAAAGGTCTCTTCAGTTAATGGCTTTGGTCCAGGTATTCTCTTGTATAAAACTCAACTACAGACATTATATCACTCATAGGGTTTATGTGCAAAATCCAGCAGAATCACAAGAAATCCATGAAAGAAAGGAAGACAGACACATGGCAGCAGCCAATTAACTCCAAATAAAACCAGCTGACTAAGTGCAGGTTTCTTATTGCTACAGAGCACAATTAAAAGAGAGGCAACTTTGACACTTTCCAAGTTTGAGTTGAGTTCTGGGGTCTGAAAGTTACTGACACATGCACTGCTAACAAGGAAAGAACTTGCAAGCGACCCATCAGTACCTGTGGTATCAACTTGGGGCAGGAGACGAAGAAAGATGGGCCGTGCATAGGGAGGCAGCTCCTTCTGTAGTTCCTGATACAAAGCATTAGGACTCAGTTTAGCTTTTGGATCTGCTATTGCTGCCATTCCAGCTTTCCCTTCCACCCCTGAAATAAAACAATAGAACTCAATGTATAGGACAGAGAGAATGGTGCTGGATTGGGCTTTAGACACTGAGTACAGGTGTAAATACAGATACCCACCCAAACCTTACCCTTTGCTCCCTCAGTTGCAAGTGAGGGCAGCATGGCAGAGGCACCATGCTTTAACCACTGTGGTAGGGAACTCCTTGCAATTCTGATGGACTTGGAAGGAAACCACTTCCAGCCCTCCTCAGTCAAAAGTAAGGTCACAATGTCCTTATCTCAGAAAGCTAATCCAACTCAATCTTATTAAGATTCCTCCTCCACCCAGACTCAGTATGCGATAAAACCAAGGAGACTGAACCGCTATTTAATGGGAACTTTTCCAACCAGACACTTGCTTGAAACAGGTTTCAGAGTAGCAGCCGTGTTAGTCTGTATTCGCAAAAAGAAAAGGAGTACTTGTGGCACCTTAGAGACTAACAAATTTATTTGAGCATAAGCTAGCTGTAGCTCACGAAAGCTTATGCTCAGATAAATTTGTTAGTCTCCAAGGTGCCACAAGTACTCCTTTTCTTTTTGCTTGAAACAGTTTCCCTTTTCATAAAGGGCCTCTTCCTCTTGCTCATCGTAGCTTTCTCCAGACCTTTTATTTGTGTCCAGAGAATTTAAGAGCCATTTATGCTTTATAAATGCTCATTCTGTTCTGTATCAGTTCCCCACACCAGAGACCCAGACTTCATGATTGAGAGCTATGGGGAGGGAAAGCAGACAAGTCTCTCAGCATTGGAGTGGCAGCTCCCAAAGTTAGTCCAGTGACATCCCCATCCATCTCCAACCCCATCCCCCCCCCCGGGGATTATACTAAGATGCATGTTCCTGTGTGGAATCAAACAGGAGCCTCAATGGAATCCTGAAGATTACTTTCACCAAGAGTTTCTGCTGAGCACAAATTATAAACAGGCTAAGACATCAAACACATGAGTCTCCTTCTTCCTATTTCTCCTCCTTAAAAAAAGCTCTTTCTTTTTAAGAACAAGTCATTATAAACCAAGGTGGAGAGCTTGCACTGAACACTCCAACACTGAGCTGCATTATCTGGAGATCAGAGCTCCCTGGGCACCCAGACAGATTACTTCTTAGCTGGATTCAACCACTAATGATCACACCTTTCCCCATGTGTATGGATCTCACCACAGCAGCATAAGTTACAAGTACTCATTAGTGAATTATCCCTGGGGCCTTCATTTCACTGCTCAGGATGAGTGCTGGCCAAATCAGACCACTCTGTTGCCCGCCTATCTTCCCCCATTTTGGGGCACCCTACTCCAGCAGAGATGGTCAATTTCAAATTGTCCTAGGGAAGGAGATACAAACTTGTATATCTGCCTGACTTGCCCCCCCACCCGGAAAGCTTGGAAGTTCTGGGTCTCCAGTTACCTGGTACCTCCACTCCATACACTGCAACATCTGTTTGACTGAGGATGTGACTCAGGATTCCCTCTACTTCCGTGGTGGAGACATTTTCCCCTCGCCACCGAAATGTGTCCCCACTGCGGTCTTTGAAGTACATGTAACCAAGTTCATCCATCACTAACACGTCTCCTGTGGGGGATAGAAGCCACAATCAATCTCAGTACTTAATTAAGGAGCACTAGGCCCTGCCTTTCAGCCCTTGAATATGCCATCTAGGTACAGCACATACAGTTAAAGAGAAGACTATTCCTACCTACCTCCCAAGGGTGTGGAGCTAAATCAGTGGCCATTTCCCCAGTGCCTACAGGATCTGCAGCTGGACCAGGATGAGGGAAAGAAACGAGAGAGAAAAGCTAAAGCAATAAGGGGTGGGGTAGAGAGAAACCATCCCTATGGGTTTTCTGTTTGTAGTTCATACATTCTATATTGAATCTAGAATACGACACAGATGGCAGCAGAACAAAACCCTAAGGTAAGATTTCTTGTCAGCCCCTACAAAGAGCTGATTAAACCCTGGGAGCTCTAAGAGCCATTTCCCCTGCCCAGTGACTGAAACATATTTGTGTCTAACACTGGTGAAGCCAGCACTTGTTCTGACAGTACCTGAAAGGTATGCCCGGTCCCCTTTTTGGAACACATTGCATGCTATCTTCTTATTGGTGGCACTCTCATTGACATAGCCATCAAACCTGCGCAAGGGGTCCTGCTGGTTTATTCTACCCACAAGGAGGCCTGGCTCCCCTAGAAAAAACAGGACAAGACCCCAAGAGATCACAACTGCTAACAAGACTGGCCATTGTGCTGGCAGTTTTTGCAACACAGACTTACTTAATGCAGGTTACTATACTGATGTATGATGTATTTAGTTGAGCGGGGCTACTTTTGAAACAGAGACCTGGAGGTGAAAGGCTTCATATCCCACCATTCGTTCCTTGAACCAGCTAGTGCCCATTTGTTATTCCTGTATAACAGTTAAAGCTTTGAGCATTTCGTGTACACAGTAACACTCACCTGGGCAGCAGGGGATGCAGAGCCCACTGGAGTCACGGATCAGCTCCATGGTGTCTTCATTTACCTTCACCAAGCGAATGGGATAAACATTGGGCAAAATCCGGCTGTTGAAACCACACGCTCCAACCTTTCAAGAGATGGACCAAGACACATGAGGAAGTGAAGGGCTAACATGAATCATTTAGCCTCAGAGTTGCATGTTCTTTGTTATATCTGGCTGTCTACCTTCTCCTAAAAAAGGTGTGGGTGGGAATTTTCTAATCATTCCCTATTAAAAAAGGAAATCATCCCCCACCACCAAGATGAGAATTTGTCCTGTAAAAGTGGTGCACACAAAAACAATCACAGATTTAGCTCCCTGCAGCCCAGTGATAGGTCCCAAAAGACACTATGTAGAACAGCCAAAAAAAAGGCAGAAAGTACATCTCTCTCTGTACTGTATCCCTCTTAGTATATATTTCTCTCCTTGCACTGTAGTCACCCACTGCGTACCTTTCCATCCAAGTTAGCAATGCTGCAATTACACTCTGTGGCTCCATAGAACTCCCCAATCTGTTTAATTCTGAAGCGCCTTGTAAAGTCTTCCCATATGGTAGGTCTCAATCCATTTCCCAATGCTAGTCGTACGTGATGTTGTACTTCTGCCTCCCGTACTGGTTGGTTCAGAAGATACCTGCAGATCTCCCCAATATACTGAATAATCTGAGGAAGCAAACACAAATATAGATCAGTCTCCAGGAGATCTTTATGATGCCCTGGGAATAACTGAAACATGGGTATAGAAAGGTAATCCCATAAATAATGTAGCTATCTCATCGCCTCCATTATTAAATTTATTGTGGTAATGCCCAGAAGCCTTAATCACAATTCGGTATCCTTGTGCTGGGTACTGCACAAATATAAAATAAAAGTCCATGCCCCAAAGTGCTTACACTCTAAACAGACCAAAGACAATGACAAGGAGTGAGGAGACAGGTACTGCATGCAAGCAAAGTGACTAGGGTGATGGGGGCATAGTGCTGGAGCCATTTCCTGAATACTGATTATGGTTCCTGGCGTGGAGCAAGGAAAGGAGTTAATATGACCAAAGCCATACAGAAATGGAAGGAAGGGGGATAATGTGTGGTAGGGAGGGAAGGATGGAGAAGAGCACAGAGGGTGAGGAAGTGGCAAGGCTGGCAGTAGAGGGACTGCCAAGAAGGGTGGGGAATGGAGGTTGGGCCAACAACCAATCAGCAGAGGGGAAATAATATCCAGCATTCAAGTAAAGTGCAGTGTGCTGACAATACTGGTGTCCAAAGACCCTGCACGTACCACCCATTCTTGCAGCTGCTGCTGAGCAGCCCTGGCTGGCCTCACCCCAGAAAGTCCTGTTCTGCTTCCCCTAGCCATAGTTTGCATCAGAGGATCTCAGATAAGCCCCTCTCTCCTCACCCCTGGAGGAACCTGCTCTGCTCCTCCCCTACATTTGTTATCCTGAACTCCAGCGAAGCTCATGCCTGTCCAAAAAACGGGCTGCTCCTAATCATAAGGTCCCTTTAAGAGCAGGAGCTCATGGGAATGCTGCTTTTTGGGGTCAGAATGCAGTTAAAACTAGTTCAGAACAAGCATCTGGAGACAAGGCAATATGCAAAGAACTTTTAATACCAGCCTCTGAGACACGTAACAGTAATGCCAATGTGGGAGAAGAAAGATTTGTGATCAGTCCAGTCCTCCCCGTATTGTGCCTGTCATGCTACGTATCAAGCAAAGATCCTCCTGTAACAGATCTGCCTGCTATTAGAAGAGAGAGAGTCATGTGTTTAAAGCCAGGATTTATCTTCTCTCTTAAGCTTCCACACAGCATCCAAAATAGACATCTGGAACAGGCTTTCTGTCCTTTCTCCTCCTCTTCATGTGCCAGCAACCCATTCTCTGATTGTCTAGCTCCAAAGAATATTTGAAGTCACTTCATGTGTGTATTATTAATTGCATTATTGCAAAAGTCAGAGGTGTTAGGGCTGGTGCTCTCATGTTTTATATCTATATGGAGGTTATGAATCTTATAATTCATTTTTCTATGTTGCATTTTAACAGGACTGTAGACAAAACTCCAGTGGCAAATTAAGCTCACTGGAATTGTGAAGTGCAGGGGCATAATTTACCATGTCATCTCTATGCACCATATTTCCTGATATTCCTCTTTTGCTCATTTAGGAATGGACTGGCTAAAGATGTTAGACTGGTTGATGTTAGTCCAGCGGGTTAGTAAGCATGCTCTATATCATCAGGTGGGAAACTCAGATTCCACTTCTTGTCTTTGTCTCCTGTAGTCATCAGGACCTGAAAGCAACATAGATTTGGCAATGAAGGGCTTACAGTCTAATGTCTCATGGGTGGTGGAGGAGGTGAGGTGTGATGCTAACTAGAGAAGTAAGAGGGGCTACAGTTGAATGCTTGAGGTGGATGGCAGGGAAAAGTCAGAGCTGAGACCTGGAGATTCCCTGCTGAAGCTAGAAATAATCCCACTGCCCAAATCAATTTGCTTCCATAAACTCCAGGCTGCAGAGACATGGCAGAATTCAAGACACTGCTTACTGTGCATTTGTATTTTGTACAATCATCCCAAAAGCGACTGGCTGAGAATTTCTTCCTGATAACCACAGTGACGCCATGGATTAGACACTGGCCGACTCCCATGATGTTACCTGGAAGACAAAGAGGGGCAGAATATCAGTGCTGGCTCTGGCTTCAAACACTATGGATAAATTCATTTACAACAGTACTTGAAGGTCCTCAACAGCACCAGAAGCAACCTGGGCCCTGGAATAGGCAGCAATATTGTGAACTTTTGCATCCTAGGGAGGAAGCATACCTGCTGAGTGATATAGTGGCAGGCAGTTGTAGAGGATATCTTCAGGGTGCATTCTATAGGCACAGTACCCAAAGGCAGCTATGCGGTAGTACCTGCAAGAACACAAGGGATGTTAAGGAATGGAAATGAACACAGCACTGAGTATCACTGAATGAAGAGCAGCTTCTCTTCAGCTCCTCACCTGCTGTGCACCACAATGGCAGCCTTTGGCATTCCTGTCGTGCCAGATGTGTAGATATAGAAGAGCCGATCTAGAGAACAGAAACACGAGCCAGGCATATGACAGATTCTCTTCAGCTGTTTAATCCCTTTTTCTGTGCAAGGCTAGGTTTTAGCTTTGCTCCTATCAGTGATCTGCTGATCACGAGTGACTGCTTTGATTTAGTGCTGGCACAGGAGAGTGTAAACTGATATGGTTGGCACAGAAGCCGTATTACAGCCCTAGCGGAGAGAACCCTTGATGCCAGTAAACTTCACCCATAAAAACAAAGAGGGTGAAAGGCAGCCTCAATTCTAACCTTTAAATCAAGAATGCAGGGCCCTAAGGGCATGCACTTTTCTTCTCCCTTCTCCAGACGGCCTTGGAATTAGGCCAGCTGCCTGACTCAGATGCTACTGGGGAGATGAATCTAGAGGAAAGGTCACTTCAAATGGGGGCAGGATTGTCTAAGGCAAGCTACACTGTGAGGAGAAAGAGAATAGCACAGAGCAAGATTTTGGGGATTTTGTTAAGAATCCAGCAAGCTTGCATTACAAAACATCACGTTTCTCCATGCAGCAGGAGTTATTGATCCTACCGTAACAGTTACTGAAATGGGAGGAACACACTCACCAACAGTGTTACACATCTCACAGGTGTTACATAGCCTATTTCTGATTCTATTAAACATGAAACACTACTATCTAGCCAGTTCCCTTCCTCTCTTTCCTCCTCTTCTCCACAAGTAAAATAAAAAAAATATAGAGGGCTGAGGTCATTAGTAATGAAACCAAACCGCAGAGCCTACATATTAGGGGAAAATTGAGGAAATCTCTATAAACAGGAAAACCCTTCTTCACCTTTCCTAAATATGAGCAGGCTGCTCATCTGGTTTCTCTTGGGTTTTTAGACACACACAGTTATAGCAAGTCCTTTCTCTTTCATCTGGATCTGGTACCAGCAATACTGATTGGAATTAAGCATCATGAGTAGCAGCACCCTCCTTCCCTCAGTTAGTAAGATGTATCCATTCTCTAAACCTAGGAAACCCTAAGAAGCCAATGAACTCCAGTGACAGATATTCACCCAGAATATATTAGTTAGGATGCTGCCTTTTGCCAACTTTTAGCCTCACTTTTCTCTTTTATACCTGGTGGTTCAAGTGGTGTTAGGATTACTCTCTCCTTCACTGCTTGCTTAGTTGCCCATTCAGTCATTACCATGTCCCAAAAGGAAGACTCCTTGAGTTCCAGGTCTCACACTTATACATGCATCACAGGAAAATAAGCTCACTGAGAAACTTACCATCTAAACCTTTGGCTTCAATCTGATCTGGAGGAGATTTCGATGCAGTACTCAGAAGAGGATCAAGGTATTTAGTCTCCACAGGGACAGAATCTGGGTTAAAATCTCCAGAGCAGAACTTCACCATGTTCTTGCCCAGCATCCCATTCACTTCAGATATTGCTGCAACACACAACTACCTCGGTTACAACAAGCACAATACTCTGGGCCACAACAACAACATTGCCAGTACTGACTCTTATTCTTTCTTTGCATCTAATAAGACATCTGCAATGCCAACACCAGAAAAGCCAGAGACTTAATTGAAATACTGAGATACCTATCCAAGTAATGATCAAATTACCATGACCTTGGTGTCCTAGATCCAACATGAGACCTTACTGCAAATTTAGGCAAAATTATCTTTTTATCCATTTTTGTTGCATGAACTGCAGTTCAGCAGTCTAGAAGGATTTCAAGGCCAATGGTTCAAAGACACATTCAGAATCCCCGAATTAGATGTTAATAAACTGTGGAAGAAAGTTTAGTTCAACGGCAATATAATGCACCGTGTCCAATATAAAGAACAGCGTCCATAAACTTAAACTCATTGTATAGAGCAGTGGTTCTGAAATGAATTTTTGCTGTGGCTGCATGTGCAGCCACTGCAAATTCACAATGGCTGCAGTTTTTGACAGTTAAAATTATACTAGTGACACTCTAATCATGTTATTTGGAAGTGTCATGTAAATAAAATAATAAATCTTTTCAATGTAAAGAGTACGTACTATTAATACCACAAAAGTTACACAGTTATTACAAAGTATGTCAAAGTATTTTTTTAAAAAGTTTGTTGCTGCATGCCCCCAAAAGTTGTGGAGGCCACAGACGAAGTCCTTGGTGCTGCACTTGAGAACCACTGGCGTAGAGGACACACAATGTGAAGTTAACCAGAGATTATAAAACACAACAGGACAAGAAATGAATAAACCTAACATTACAGCAGTATATATGCCCAATGGCCTCTGATGGGATGTTAGATGGGGTGGGATCTGAGTTACTACAGAGAATTCTTTCCTGGATGTCTGGCTGGTGAGTCTTACTCACATGCTCAGGGTTTAGCTGATCGCCTTTTTTTGAAGTCAGGAAGGAATTTTCCTCCAGGGCAGATTGGCAGAGGCCCTGAGGGTTTTTCGCCTTCCTCTCCAGCATGGGGCACAGGTCACTTGCTTGAGGATTCTCTGCACTCTGAAGTCATTAAACCACGATTTGAGGACTTCAATAGCTCAGACATAGGTTAGGGGTTTGTTACAGGAGTGGGTGGGTGAGATTCTGTGGCCTGCATTGTGCAGGAGGTCAGACTAGACGATCATAATGGTCCCTTCTGACCTTAAAGTCTATGATTTTAGGATACAGATAACCTTCCTTTTCTGTGTGCACAGATGCAGAGCTCCTGGAGTGGGGAGTTTCTAATCCTCTTTACAGCTCCAAGGAGACCACACCTGACTAATGAACTCAGACGTGGGCAACTCAATACTAGGAAGACACTGACATAAGAGCAGAAGTAATATTTGTAGCTTCCCACAATACTACTCCTATCCATCATATTACAGACTTCTCCCCCTTTAGTAACTGATCAGCAGTGACTCAGTTTTCCCATTTTGTTCCCAGTGAAACCCAAATGAGGGAGGAAAGGAACCTCTCTAGGAAACATGCCCTAAGTCAGGGGTGTCCAACCTGAGCCTGAGGAGCCAGAATTTACTAATGTACATTGCCAAAGAGCCACAGTGATACGTCAGCATCCCCCCATCAACTCCCCCCAACCCCCTGCTCCCAATGCCTCCTGCCCATCGGCAGCCCTGCCGATCAGCGCCTCCCCGTCCCTCTCCGAACCTCCTGATCAGCTGTTTCGTGGCATGCAGGAGGTTTGGGGGGGATGGGGGAGGAGCGAGGGCACGGCAGGCTCAGGGGAGGGTTCAGGAAGGGATGGAGCGGGGGCAGGGCCTGTGGCAAAGCCAGGGGTTGCGCAGTGAGTACCCCACAGCACATTGGAAAGTTTGCGCCTGTAGCTCCAGCCCCGGAGTCGGTGCCTAGACAAGGAGCCGTATATTAACTTCTGAAGAGCCGCATGTGGCTCTGGAGCCACAGGTTGGCCACCCCTGCCCTAAGTCTTTACTCAGAACTACTCCTAATTTCAGTGAGAACTTGCCTCAATCAGGACTAAGTAAGAACTTCAGGAGTTAGTCCTTAATGTGTGCCAACTCTCAGGTGTCTCACCTGCAGCCAGCTCTCCTCCAAAGATCACAGCCTTTGCCCCTGAGGTTGTCACACAGTAAACCAGAGAATCCAGACGCAAATTGAAGTTAATGAGAGCTGCCTCAATACCAACTTTTGCCATTCCAAGCCAGAGGCCCACGAACTCGGGACGGCTCTCCATGAAGATGGCAATGACATCACCCAGACGGAACCCCTGCTGGTAGAAGAAGTTAGCCACGGCATTGGAATACTCATCCAGCTGCCGGAATGTCCATTTCTCATCATTGGACTCATAGATCAGAGCCACTTTGTCAGGGTGCCTGCGGACGACATCGTGGAAGATCTTTGGAATAGTGTTTTTGGCTCGCTGATGCTTTCGCAACTCATACTTGACACGTATCAGCACTGAGAGACCACTGCAGCAAGGAGAGGAAAGTCATAATTCCAGCAGAAAGTACAATACCCCTCACATAGTTTAACATACAATCTGATATATTTTGACTCATGCTTCTACACTGCCGTATGCAACTTGAAAATTTCACTCACCAGGGAAAAAAAATTTTTTCCTGAAGAGTCGGGAGCCCCAATCTATTAATTTCTGCAGAATCTAAGGCTTGATGTTAAATAAAGCAAGTTTCTTTCTAGCCCTTACAGTTCAGCACTTCCAAATGTGACCAAATGCAGTGCCATGTTCCTACAGTTCCTGGGCCTCTGCTGCCCCCAGGGCTTCTCCTGCAACTTCAGAGTGAAGTGAATAGACTCTCATCAGAGAGACAAGGTGGGAGAGGTAATATCTTTTATTGGACCAACTTCTGTTGGTGAGAGAGACAAGCTTTCAAGCTTACATGGCTCTTCCTCAGGTCTGGGAAACATACAGAGTTTCATAGCTAAACACAAGGTGGAACAGTTTGTTTAGCATAAGTAGTTAACACACTTCAAGGGACCTTTCAAGATGAAGTGGCCAGTTAACACCTTTCCAGTCATGGAAGGGCAGTGTGTGTGGGGGGTGGGGGGGGGGAGGAGTGTCAGTTGATTATATATTGTTGTAATAAATCATAAATCCTGTGTGTCTATTGAGTCCAGGATTTCTAGTGTCTAGCGGAGTAAAGAATTTAAATTCCCAGGCTCCTCTTTTGTAGGTGTTGTGCAGGTTTCCTTTGAGGATGAGGACTGAGAGTTCAGTGCATTAAAATGCCCCAACAATTACTATGTGGGTGAAATGAGACAAATCACTACACTCTGGAATGAACTCACAGAAAAATTATAAAAGACAAACACCATATCATCTATAGGTGAACACTTTTCACAAAGCTATCACTCTATATCTGACCTCTCAGTCCTCATCTAGTGATGGCAAAAATCTAGTGAGCCATGAAATATCCTTACAAAATTAGGAGGATGCATAACACCACAAAATGAAAATCTCTATTGGTTACTTAGCTGATGGGAACAGATTATATATTTATACACCAGTTTTATTTGACCTCAAGCCTCAAGACTTCTTGGGTCTGACTTGTCTATTTCTCTTTGTTATTCTAGATGCCAATAAAGTGGGAGATTTTTATCAGGATAAACACTGAGGCTACCTCTACACTACAGACTTACAGCTGCGCCGCTATAAGGTCTCCCACGTAGCCACTTTTTGACGGCAGGAGAGAGCTCTCCTGCCAGTATAATTAAACCAACCCCAACGAGCAGCCTTCTGCCTGCATAGCACTGTTCACACCAGCACTTTTGTCAGTGAAACTTATGTCAGTCAGGGGTGTGTTTATTCACATCCTTGACCGACAAAAGTTTTGCTGACAAAAGTGCTAGTGTAGGCAAGCATGAGTTCATAGCAGAACTCTGTAGTTTCTCTCAGAGATGCCTCCGGATCCTAAGGCCAGTCTTCCAAAAAGAAAGAAAAACACACATTCCACGGAGGAGCCTGACTCATAGGCTACTGGCCTGAGCCAGCTAAAGCACTGTTCTCTAATTGAAAGTCTGGACCACTGCTGTCCCATACAGAACGATTGCTGGCTATATTTCTGTTATGTTGGAGAGACAGAGAGCACCACAGCCAGCCTCTTTAGACACTTAGATACACACATACCCCCCCACACACAATCCACAGCAAAGTTAATTTGAATACCTTAACCAAATTAAAAAAAGACATGTTGACAGAAGACATGGATGAGACGACATTACAGATCCTTATTTTAAGGATTTCATTTAGGGGGACTAGAAAACAGGAAGCTTGCTTGCTTTCTCAACAAGGAAATAATTGCAAATACATTTTGTTTTAGAACAACTCTTGCTTCCCATAACATGCTTTGCAATGTCCTAGTGTTATGGTATCTGCTCAGTAATTTGCAGATCCTGTGGGAACACATAAAAGTATTTCCATAATTTCATAAAGGAAGTTTAAAAACAAAACCACAGCTTGGACATGTAGCATTAACTCATAGTCTGAGCTTTAACAGAACAGAGGCAGACTTCCCATGTAGAAAAGCCATACAATTGTGATTAGAAAAGGGGTACTTGTGGCACCTTAGAGACTAACCAATTTATTTGAGCATGAGCTTTCGTGAGCCACAGCTCACTTCATCAGATGTGTACCGTGGAAACTGCACATCTGATGAAGTGAGCTGTGGCTCACGAAAGCTCATGCTCAAATAAATTGGTTAGTCTCTAAGGTGCCACAAGTACTCCTTTCTTTTGCGAATACAGACTAACACGGCTGTTCCTCTGAAACCTAACAATTGTGATTGGGGATGTTGTTTCTTGTCAGAGAAAAGCCTCCAGTGTATTGCTCTTCGTATGCAATCTTCTTACCATTCAGACCCCTAAACTGTTCCAGGAATGGTGGTGAAAGATGGTCTCTTGATGCTGCCAAATTAAGACTGTGAGGGAGGGAGAGGATAAAACAATAGTCTACAAATAACTGGAGGAAGCAAACACTAAAGGGGGGAGGGAAGAGATTGTTTAATGATTTATGAGGGAGCTTAACTAGAAGTTAATGGATAAAATGAACAGAGGAAAAATTTAGGCAGAGTAACTGAAAATCCACGGACTGTGAAATCTACTAGACCTTGGAATAGTCTCTCAAGGAAAGGAGTGGTCTTTTCTGATTTCTCTAGTTTCTATTACATTGGTTACGGGGCAGGAATTCATTTCCTAAAATGAACAGGAGTACTTGTGGCACCTTAGAGACGAACAAATTTATTTAAATAAATTAAATAAATAAAATAAATTTGTTCGTCTCTAAGGTGCCACAAGTACTCCTGTTCTTTTTGCAGATACAGACTAACATGGCTGCTACTCTGAAACATTTCCTAAAATGTAACTCTGGATTCTTCACACTTATATTGTTTTGTTTCTGTTGAAGACACTCATGGTTTGTCTCAATTTCTATACTTATTGTAATTTCTCAATAGGCAGAGAATTAAATATGCTAACATACTACCATAGCATCAACACCCAAATGAGAATACCCACCTGGACCCTGCTTTCCTAAGGGGGAGGAAGGTGGTGGCTGTATTTTCTCTACCATCAAATAGGAAATAGTTGTGCAACAGGAGTTTGCAAGAAGCCCCAAAAAGTTGAAAGGTAATTTATTACCAGTACTGTAAAAGCCTTACATCCCCATGACTGTCAACAGCAGGAACCCTGGTCAGCAAAGCCGTAGGATGGAGGAAGGGGTTGTTTTAGAAACAAGCTGCAGGCATTTTGTGAGACTGAGCTGGCCTTTCATGGTGACCCTATACTGAGCTGTGCCAGAGACAGAACAGAAGAGCCTTTTCACTTGTTAGCTACCCTTTTCACATTTTGAAGGGGCTTTATTCTCTCTATTTATTTTCTGCCATTATTCCTCACTTGCCATGCAATCAGGAGGAAACAGTCCTTCAAAAGTCCAGTGACAGCCACAGTAAAGCTAGGCAGTCTCTGGTGATCACAAAAGCCCTAAATCCTTTAGCACAAAGGAGTTCCCTCACAGAAGCCCAAGAGGCACAGAACTAAGTGAGACACTCATTAGAGTGTCTCTGGCTGCCCCAGGAGGTAGGGGAGAGACTAGAGACTGATGTATGAATCACAAATTATTATTTTTTACAATCTATTAACTTAATATTGACTGACTGTCCCTTTAACTTTAGCAAGAACAAGATATTTTGCTTCTGTAACACTTTCCACGCACTTTAACAAATGTTTTACAAACCTCTTGTTACATTTCACAATCAGAACATTTCCTTAGTGCAAGTCCTCATTTTGAGCCATTCAACTTATCTGTGTTTCTAGATAAACTAAGGTTTCAGAGTAGCAGCCGTATTAGTCTGTATTCGCAAAAAGAAAAGGAGTACTTGTGGCACCTTAGAGACTAACAAATTTATTTGAGCATAAGCTTCCGTGAGCTACAGCTCACTTCATCGGATGCATTCACAATGGAAAATACAGTGGGGAGATTTATATACATAGAGAACATGAAACAATGGGTGCTACCATACACACTGTAGCCAGAAAGAAAAGGAGTACTTGTGGCACCTTAGAGACTAACAAATTTATTTGAGCAAAAGTTTATGCTCAAATAAATTTGCTAGTCTCTAAGGTGCCACAAGTACTCCTTTTCTTTTTGCGAATACAGACTAACAGGGCTGCTACTCTGAAAACTGTAACCAGAGTGATCACTTAAGGTGAGCTATTACCAGCAGGACAGCGGGGGACGGGGAACCTTTTGTAGTGATAATCAAGGTGAGCCATTTCCAGCAGTTGACAAGAACTCTGAGGAAGAGTATGTGTGTGTGTGTGGGGGGGGGGAATAAACATGAGGAAATAGTTTTACTTTGTGTAAATACCCATCCACTCCCAGTCTCTATTCAAGCCTAAGTTAATTGTATCCAGTTTGCAAATTAATTCCAATTCAGCAGGCTCTCGTTGGACTCTGTTTTTGAAGGTTTTTTGTTGAAATATTGCCACTTTTAGGTCTGTAATCGAGCGACCAGAGAGATTGAAGTGTTCTCCAACTGGTTTTTGAATGTTCTAATTCTTGACATCTGATTTGTGTCCATTTATTCTTTTACGTAGAGACTGTCCAGTTTGACCAATGTACATGGCAGAGGGGCATTGCTGGCACATGATGGCATATATCACATTGGTTGATGTGCAGGTGAATGAGTCTCTGATGGTGTGGCTGATGTGATTAGGCCCTATGATGGTGTCCTCTGAACAGATACGTGAACACAGTTGGCAAAGGGCTTTGTTACAAGGATAGGTTCCTGGGTTAGTGGTTCTGTTGTGTGGTTGCTGTTGAGTATTTGTTTCAGGTTGGGGGGCTGTCTGTAAGCAAGGACTGGCCTGTCTCCCAAGATCTGTGAGAGTGACGGGTCGTCCTTCAGGATAGGTTGTAGATCCTTGATGATGCGTTGGAGAGGTTTTAGTTGGGGGCTGAAGGTGATGGCTAGTGGCGTTCTGTTATTTTCTTTGTTGGGCCTGTCCTGTAGTAGGTGACTTCTGGGTACGCTTCTGGCTCTGTCAATCTGTTTCTTCACTTCAGCAGGTGGGTATTGTAGTTGTAAGAATGCTTGATAGAGATCACTTGCCCCATAACCTCAGCCGTGCAGAACACAATGCCATCCACAACCTCAGAAACAATTCTGACATCATAATCAAAAAGGCTGAGAAAGGAGGTGCTGTCATGATCATGAATAGGTCGGAATATGAACAAGAGGCTGCTAGCCAGCTCTCCAACACCACTTTCTACAAGCCATTACCCTCTGATCCCACTGAGGGTTACCAAAAGAAACTACAGCATTTGCTCAAGAAACTCCCTGAAAAAGCACAAGAACAAATCCACACAAACACACCCCTGGAACCCCGACCTGGGGTATTCTATCTGCTACCCAAGATCCGTAAACCTGGAAATCCTGGACGCCCCATTATCTCAGGCATTGGCACCCTGACAGCAGGATTGTCTGGCTATGTAGACTCCCTCCTCTGGCCCTACGCTACCAGCACTCCCAGCTATCTTCGAGATACCACTGACCTCCTGAGGAAACTACAATACATCGGTGATCTTCCTGAAAACATCATCCTGGCCACTATGGATGTAGAAGCCCTCTACACCAACATTCCACACAAAGATGGACTACAAGCCGTCAGGAACTGTATCCCCGATAATGTCACGGCTAACCTGGTGGCTGAACTTTGTGACTTTGTCCTCACCCATAACTATTTCACATCTGGGGACAATGTATACCTTTAAATCAGCGGCACTGCTATGGGTACCCGCATGGCCCCACAGTATGCCAACATTTTTATGGCTGACTTAGAACAACGCTTCCTCAGCTTTTGTCCCCTAATGCCCCTACTCTACTTGCACTACATTGATGACATCTTCATCATCTGGACCCATGGAAAAGAAGCCCTTGAGGAATTCCACCATGATTTCAACAATTTCCATCCCACCATCAACCTCAGTCTGGACCAGTCCACACAAGAGATCCACTTCCTGGACACTACGGTGCTAATAAGCGATGGTCACATAAACACCACCCTATACCAGAAACCTACTAACTGCTATTCCTACCTACATGCCTCCAGCTTTCATCCAGACCACACCACACGATCCATTGTCTACAGCCAAGCTCTACGATACAACCGCACTTGCTCCAACCCCTTAGACAGAGACAAACACCTACAAGATCTCTATCAAGCATTCTTACAACTACAATACCCACCTGCTGAAGTGAAGAAACAGACTGACAGAGCCAGAAGCGTACCCAAAAGTCACCTACTACAGGACAGGCCCAACAAAGAAAATAACAGAACGCCACTAGCCATCACCTTCAGCCCCCAACTAAAACCTCTCCAACGCATCATCAAGGATCTATAACCTATCCTGAAGGACGACCCGTCACTCTCACAGATCTTGGGAGACAGGCCAGTCCTTGCTTACAGACAGCCCCCCAACCTGAAACAAATACTCAACAGCAACCACACAACAGAACCACTAACCCAGGAACCTATCCTTGTAACAAAGCCCTTTGCCAACTGTGTCCACGTATCTGTTCAGAGGACACCATCATAGGGCCTAATCACATCAGCCACACCATCAGAGGCTCATTCACCTGCACATCAACCAATGTGATATATGCCATCATGTGCCAGCAATGCCCCTCTGCCATGTACATTGGTCAAACTGGACAGTCTCTACGTAAAAGAATAAATGGACACAAATCAGATGTCAAGAATTAGAACATTCAAAAACCAGTTGGAGAACACTTCAATCTCTCTGGTCGCTCGATTACAGACCTAAAAGTGGCAATATTTCAACAAAAAACCTTCAAAAACAGAGTCCAACGAGAGCCTGCTGAATTGGAATTAATTTGCAAACTGGATACAATTAACTTAGGCTTGAATAGAGACTGGGAGTGGATGGGTATTTACACAAAGTAAAACTATTTCCTCATGTTTATTCCCCCCCCCCCACACACACACACATACTCTTCCTCAGAGTTCTTGTCAACTGCTGGAAATGGCCCACCTTGATTATCACTACAAAAGGTTCCCCACCCCCACTGGTAATAGCTCACCTTAAGTGATCACTCTGGTTACAGTGTGTATGGTAACACCTATTGTTTCATGTTCTCTATGTATATAAATCTCCCCACTGTATTTTCTTCCACTGAATGCAAATTAAACCTTGAAACATTCAAACTTAATGACACAAAACCAATTTATTATAAGTTCTTACTCTAAGCACCTTTCCTAACATTTCAGGAATTATAAGGTGGAAAGGTTTCAGCTAGGGTCCAGGAACATTATAGTCTCCGTAGGTATGTTTCCAACACTCTAGGTCATAATTCTCCTGCTATGCTGCTAATGCAAGTTGTTAGAGTTGAAATAGATACAGATTTATTGTTAGTAGTGAAAGGTTATTTTATGGAAACACAAAACCAACACATTACAGAATAAGATTAAGGCCCACAAAGCAATACTTACAAGAGATCCCTCAGAGCTGTCTTAAAGATGATACGGAGAAACCTCCATCCTCCGCTGCCAATGTAAACACCCAATGTGGCTGCCAGACTCCATGACCAGGGCACACCAAAAAAACGCATAAGCCCAAGCGAGCCCAGGGAAGCAGTGCAAACCCCAATCATGTGCATTCTAGAAAGAGAGAGAAGTTTAAATATGATCACTGCCAGACTCGACCCAGACCCCCTAACTGACCACAAACAAAAGTGCAGGGATACATCCCAGAAAGCAGATGCACAGAGCACTGTCCCCTCTAAGCTGTGCACGTGTGCGCGCACACTCAGATCCTAAACCCTGCGCACACAGCGAAGCACCAAGCACACAAAAAATGAAATACTACATTGGAGCCAGGCCAAAATATCATTTACGGACGACTTGACAGTGTTCAAAAGTATTTTGTTCTAGCTACTACTAGATTCTACTAGCTGGCAAGGGGGGGAAAGGAAAGGTGGTTAAATTTCCTTTTTTCTAAGTATTTAAAAATTACATTTATAAAATAACATGGTGTAAAACTATTATTATCACAAATTGCAAATAAAAACTTTTTAAATGCATAAGCATTTTACTCGCTTGGGCACATCTGCCTCATGGTGCACAAATTTGAACTCTGCTTCAAAAATTTGCACAGAAGAAATTTTTTCCCCACACAGCCCCGGTTACCTGCTGCGGTGCGGGTGGACCTCCTCGCACCCCCTGCCCAGCTCCCCTCCGCTCCGCCTCCCTGGGCCTGAGCATGAAGCCACCACTTGCTTCTCAGCCCCACCCCCGGCTTCCCACACGAACAGCTGATTTGCAGGAAGGGGGGGGGGGGGGGGGCGGCGGAGAAGCAGAGTGGGATGGTGCGTTCAGGGGAGGAGGCAGGCACCCACCAAATTCTCCCCGTGGGGGCTCCAGCCTCAGAGCACCCACGGAGTTAGTGCCTAAGGGGCCACTTTTGATGTGATCAGTGGGGGCAGCGGCCGCTCCCCCTGCTCCTCCCTAGCTATGCTACCCCACTCCTAGGAGCCAGAGGGACCTGCCGGATGCTTCCTGGGAGCCGCCCCAGGTAAGCACCACAGGGACTCCCCACCTCGCCCCCTGGCAGGTCCCTCTGGCTCTTAGGGGCAGGGTGGGGTGGGCATCCACTACGGTGGCCCACGAGACCCTCCTGCCCAGTTCTGGGGGCAGTCGGGGGATGGGGTGGATGGGGCAGGGGTCCCAGGTGGGGGGCGTCAAGGAACATGGGAGGTTGGATGGGGCAGGAGTCCCGGGGGGCGGGGGTAGGCCACGACCCCTTTGTGCGGTGAGGAGGGAACCAGACGTTAAGATTTTGGCAGCTCATCACTGGTCACAGGCCAAAATTATTACAACCCAGAACAGCTTTGAAATAGCAGTTTTCCAAACTAAATGAGGACATTTTGATACAGAATCTGGATTTAATTATATTTATTTCAATTACCAAAAAGACAAAAAATCATCACCAAACAAAATATTTTCTATGTGTCTAAAACTTGGTAAAAGTGGATGGCTTAAATGTATACCCCAAATTAAAAAACACAGTAAAAGAAATAAAAGAGAGCCAGCGTGGCTTATCAACCATGTAAAAGAAGCAGTGAGAGAGAAAAAGGCTTCTTTTAAAAAGTAGAAGTCAAATCCTAGTGAGGTAAATAGAAAGGAGCATAAACACTGCCAAATTAAATGTAAAAATGTAATAAGAAAAGCCAAAAAGGAGTTTGAAGAACAGCTAGCCAAAAACTCAAAAGGTAATAAAATGTTTTTTAAGTACATCAGAAGCAGGAAGCCTGCTAAACAACCAGTGTGGCCCCTGGACGATCGAGATACAAAAGGAGCACTTAAAGACGATAAAGTCATCGCAGAGAAACTAAACAAATTCTTTGCTTCAGTCTTCACAGCTGAGGATGTTAGGGAGAATCCCAAACCTGAGCCATCTTTTATAGGTGACAAATCTAAGGAATTGTCACAGATTGAAGTGTCACTAGAGGAGGTTTTGGAATTAATTGAGAAACTTAACAGTAACAAGTCACTGGGATCAGATGGCATTCACCCAAGAGTTCTGAAAGAACTCAGTTGTGAAATTCTGAAACTATTAACTATGGTTTGTAACCTGTCCTTTAAATCAGCTACTGTACCCAATGACTGGAAGACAGCAAATGTAACGCCAATATTTAAGAAGGGCTCTAGAGGTGATCCCGGCAATTACAGACCGGTAAGTCTAATGTCAGTACTGGGCAAATTAGTTGAAACAATAGTAAAGAATAAAATTATCAGACACATAGAAGAACATAAACGGTTGTGCAAAAGTCAACATGGTTTCTGTAAAGGGAGGTCATGTCTTACTAATCTATTAGAGTTCTTTGAGGGGGTCAACAAACATGTTGGATCCAAGGGGGATCCCAGTGGACATAGTGTATTTAGATTTCCAGAAAGCCAAGGTCCCTCACCAAAGGCTGTTCTATAAATTAAGTTGTTATGGGATAAGAGGGAAGATCCTTTCATGGATTGAGAACTGGTTAAAAGAGAGGGAAAAAAAGGTTTAGGAATAAACAGTAAATTTTCAGAATGGAGAGGGGTAACTAGTGGTTCCCCAAGGGTCAGTCCTAAGATCAATCCTATTCAATTTATTCATAAATGATCTGGAGAAAGGGGTAAACAGTGAGGTGGCAAAGTTTGCAGATGATACTAAACTGCTCAAGTTTCAGAGGAACAGCCGTGTTAGTCTGTATTCGCAAAAAGAAAAGGAGTACTTGTGGCACCTTAGAGACTAACCAATTTATTTGAGCATGAGCTTTCGTGAGCTACAGCTCACTTCATCAGATGTATACCGTGGAAACTGCAGCAGACTTTATATACACACAGAGAATATGAAACAATACCTCCTCCCACCCCACTGTCCTGCTGGTAATAGCTCAAGACAGTTAAGACTAGGGGTCTCAAACATGAGGCCCACTGGGCTATTTCCTGCAGCCCGCCAAACAGCCTGCATCCCCGGGCCTACTTCCAGGCCAGGGGTGGGCAAACTACAGCCTGCAGGCCGAATCCGGCCTGTGTGATTGCCCTCCGTGGCCCCGCCAGCCCCGCGCTGCTCCCTGAAGCGGCCGGCACAACGTCCCTGCAGCGGGGTGGGTGGGGAGGGGCTCCTTGCATTGCCATGGCTTCCAGACACCGCCCCCCGCATCTCCCATTGGCCGGGAACAGGGAACCATGGCCAATGGGAACTTCGGGGGGAGGTATCTGGAGGAGCAGCAAGGCAGAGCACTGAGCCTTGTGCCCTCGCAGGGACATGGTTCCGGCTGCTTCCAGGAGCAGACCAGCGCAGGGGCCAGGGCAGGCAGGCAGGGAGCCTGCCCTGGTCCCAGTGCGTGCCGCTGCCACCCCGGAGCCCGCACCCCAAACTCCTCCTGCACCCCACACCCCAACTCCCTGCCCTGAGTCCCCTGCACCCCAACCCCCGCCGCACTCCACACCCCTCCTGCACCCCAACCCCATGCTCTGAGCCCCCCCGCCACACCCTTCACCCTGACCCCCTGCTGCACCCCAAACCCCTGTCCTGAGCCCCCTGCCACACCCCGCACCTCTCCTGCACCCCCTGGGGGCAGGGAGGGGGCAGAGTTAGGGTGGGGACTTAAGGGAAGGGGGTGGAATGGGGGCAGGGAAGGGGTGGGAAGAGGCGGGCCCTCATGGAAGGCTTGGGGGTCAGTGATGTGGCCCTCGGGCCAATGCACTAGTCCTCATGTGGCCCTCATGCTCATTTGAGTTTGAGACCCCTGGTTAAGACCAAAGCAGACTGTGAAGAACTTCAAAAAGATCTCACAAAACTAAGTGACTAGGCAACAAAATGGCAAATGAAATTTAATGTGGATAAATGTAAAGTAATGCACATTGGAAAATATAACCCCAACTATACATACAATATGATGGGGGCTAATTTAGCTACAACTAATCAGGAGAAAGATCTTGGAGTCATTGTGGATAGTCCTCTGAAGACGTCCATGCAGTGTGCAGCAGTGGTCAAAAAAGGAAATGGGATGTTAGGAATCATTTAAAAAGGGATAGAGAATAAGACGGAGAATATCTTATTGCCGTTATATAAATCCATGGAACACCCACATCTTGAATACTGCGTACAGATGTGGTCCCCTCATCTCAAAAAAGATAGACTGGCATTAGAAAAGGTTCAGAAAAGGGCAACTAAAATGATTAGGGGGTTGGAACGGGTCCCATATGAGGAGAGATTAAAGAGGCCAGAACTTTTCAGCTTGGAAAAGAGGAGACTAAGGGGGGGGGGGGGTATGATAGAGGTCTATAAAATCATGAGTGATGTGGAGAAAGTGAATAAGGAAAAGTTATTTACTTGTTCCCATAATATAAGAACTAGGGGCCACCAAATGAAATTAATGGGTAGCAGGTTTAAAACAAATAAAAGGATATTCTTCTTCACTCAGCACACAGTCAACCTGCGGAACTCCTTGCCTGAGGAGGTTGTGAAGACTAGGACTATAACAGGGTTTAAAGAGAACTGGATAAATTCATGGAGATTAAGTCCATTAATGGTTATTAGTCAGGATGGGTAAGGAATGGTGTCCCTAGCCCCTGTTTGTCAGAGGGTGGAGATGGATGGCAGGAGAGAGATCACTTGATCATTACCTGTTAGGTTCACTCCCTCTGGGGCACCTGGCATTGGCCACTGTCGGTAGACAGGATACTGGGCTGGATGGACCTTTGGCCTGACCCAGTATGGCCATTATTATGTTCTTATGCTATTAGTCAATGAATTTGGGATGGGATTGGTGTGCCTATCATCTTGTGATGAAGGAGTCTCAGAAACATGTATATCTTAGAGTTTTATATTGCCACCCACTACCACAGTAACTGAGCACCTTTCATGTGAAGTCAATAGCAACAGCAAAATCCCTATTATACTTCATGGAATCTCTCGCACTTCTCCCTTCTCAAGGTAAAAACTCTGCTTGAGGTAGGATTTGTTGAGATTTTTTTTTAGGTTTTATGAATTTCCACTATATATTGATGGCAAGTGTTTACGTAAGAATGACCATACTGGGTCAGACCAATGGCCCATCTAGCCCGGTATCCTATCTTCCGACAGTAGCCAATGCCAGGTGCTTCAGTGTGGATGAACAGAACAGGCAATCATCAAGTGATCCAGCTATTGGATCGAAAGCAGTGTCAGAGTTGCAAGTGTCCTCCTTATAGTGAAAAAGCACTAGGAACTTTTGTAGTACCATGAATAGGGGGGAAAAATCCCATTGTAGCACCCATCCCATCCCCCAGTGCAGATGAGGAGCAGGAATGTGCATTATTTCCACCACGGGGTGGGCGGGGGGTAGGCGGGTGCAGGGAAAGTTTCCAGCATCTACAAGAGGCAGAGTAAGAGGGACATGTGAGAAAAATCCTCTCCAGTACCAATGGGAAACATCATCCAGACATTCATGTGGCTGCTTACACTATTCCAGGATGCTTCTTGCCCATCATAGGTACTGGTCTAATCCCTAGTATGGTCCACTCCTCACAGGTACCCTAGTCACTGCCCTAGACCGTTCAGGCATCTTACCACCCTCTCCGAGACACCACATGGGATCTCTCAGACTTCACACCCAGAAACTATGCCTCCCAACCCTCCCCACATCCACCACTGCGTCAGCCCCTTCAGGTTATATCCCCCCTCCCAAAGGGGTATGTCAGCACCCCTCAGATCTCACATACCTCTAGACATCATGTCAGCCCTACTCCTTCACAATCTCAAACCTCATCCATGCACCCTGCCACTATGTTAGGGCCCTCCCACACCTTCCCTCCTAAGATCATGTCAGTTGGATTACTGAGCCTACCCCCATACTCCATTCCCTAGGGACCATGCCAAACCCCAACCCTCAAACTCAAACCCCTCCAGACCAACAGAGCCACCCACCCAGGGACACCATGTCCAGACCCACAGAGCCAGCCCTAAAGAAACTGCCACTTCTCCCTGATCTCGACCCCCACCCACTACTGTATCAACTACAGTGCCCAGACCCCTGACATTTACCCACTAGGGTTCCTAGGTCAGTCCCGCCACCTCTACCCCCAAACCTCTACCCACCGCCCCCGGGGCAGCCCCGCCACCTCTATCCCCGGTCCTGTGCCAGCCCCCCCCCCCCGACATCCACCCGCCACCCCCGGGGCAGCCCCGCCACCTCTATCCCCGGCCCTGTGCCAGCCCCCCGCCCCGACATCCACCCGCCACCCCCGTGGCAGCCCTGCCACCTCTATCCCCGGCCCTGTGCCAGACCCCCCCGACATCCACCCGCCACCCCCGGGGCAGCCCCACCACCTCTATCCCAAGCCCTGTGCCAGCCCCCGCCACCCCCGACATCCACCCGCCACCCCCGGGGCAGCCCCACCACCTCTATCCCAAGCCCTGTGCCAGCCCCCCCGACCACCCCCCCCGGGCACCCCACCACTCCCCAACCCCCCCACCCCCAGCTACCCCCCACCATACCCCCCCCACCACACAACCCCCCCCCCCCTCCCCCCCCCCACCCCACCATCCCCCCCACAATACCCACCCCCCCCCCCCCCCCACCCTCCCACCCAACCCCCCCACCCACCACTACCCCCCCACCCCACCCATACCCCACCCCAATCACCCCACTACCCACCATACCCTTCCCCCCCCACACACCACTCATCCCCCACTACCCCCCCCCACACCCCACTCCCACCACGCCCCAACCCCCCTAAACCCCCCCACCCCCACACACAAACCCCCACACCCCCCCCATTATCCAAGCTCACCCCCCACCCCCAGACCCCACCCTACCGGCCCACCCCCCGACAACACCCGCCCCCCCTCTGCCCGTGCAGCCCCCCGACCACCCGCACCCGCAGCCCCACTACCCCACCCCCGACCCAGGGACCCCACCCCCGGCGCAGCCCCGACATAGCACCGGCGCCACTCCCGTGACCAAACGACCTCACCTCACCCCCCGAAAGCCCCAGGGCAGCCCCCCCGCCCTGGCACCCCCGACATCCACCCCCACCCCGGGGCAGCCCCGCCACCTCTATCCCCGGCCCTGTCAGCCCCCGACATCCACCCGCCCCCCGGGGCAGCCCCCCACCTCTATCCCCGGCCCTGTGCCAGCCCCCGACCCACCCGCCACCTCTACCCGCCCTGTGCAGCCCCCCGACTCCGCCCCGGGCAGCCCCACCACCTCTATCCCAAGCCCTTCCACCCCCCCACCCCCGACATCCACCCCCACCCCGGGGCACCCCACCACCTCTACCCAAGCCCTTCACCCCCCCACATCCACCACCCGGGGCACCCCACACCTCTATCCCAAGCCCTTCACCCCCCCACATCCCACCCCAGGGCAGCCCCCCACCTCTATCCGCCCTCCACCCCCCCCACATCACCCGCCCCCCGGACCCCCCACCTCTATCCCCGCCCTTCACCCCCCACATCCACCCCACCACCCCACTCTATCCCCGCCCTTCACCCCCCGACATCCACACCCGGGCAGCCCCCCACCTCATCCCGCCCTTGCCAGCCCCGACACCACCACCCGGGCAGCCCCCACCCTATCCCCGCCCTTGCCAGCCCCCCCGACATCCACCCGCCACCTCTATCCCCGGCCCTTGCCACCCCCCGACATCCACGCCACCCAGGGCAGCCCCGCCACCCTATCCCCGGCCCTTCCAGCCCCCCGACATCCACCGCCACCCGGGGCAGCCCCGCCACCTCTATCCCCGGCCTGTGCCACCCCCACATCCACCCCACCTCTATCCCCGCCCTGTGCACCCCCGACACAGCCACCCCCGCACCCCCCACCTCTATCCCCGCCTTACACCCCCCCCCACATCCACCACCCCCGGGACAGCCCTGCCACCTCTATCCCCGGCCCTGTGCCAGCCCCCACATCCACCCCCACCTCTATCCCGGCCCTGTGCCACCCCCCACACCAGCCACCCCAGGGCAGCCCCGCACCTCTATCCCCGGCCCTGTGCCAGCCCCCGACATCCACCCGCCACCCCGGGGCAGCCCCGCCACCTCATCCCCGGCCCTGTGCCAGCCCCCCGACATCCACCCGCCACCTCTATCCCCGGCCCTGCCAGCCCCCCCCGACATCCACGCCACCCCGGGGCAGCCCTCCACCTCTATCCCGGCCCGTGCCACCCCCCCCGACATCACCCGCCACCCCGGGGCAGCCCGCCACCTCTCCCCGGCCCTGTGCCAGCCCCCGACATCACCGCCACCCGGGGCAGCCCCGCCACCTCTATCCCCGGCCCTGTGCCAGCCCCCCGACATCCACCCGCCACCTCTATCCCCGGCCCTGTCCAGCCCCCGACATACCCGCCACCCCAGGGCAGCCCCACCACCTCTACCCGGCCCGGCCAGCCCCCCGACATCCACCCGCCACCCCGGAGCCCCGCCACCTCTATCCCGCCCTGTCCAGCCCCCGACATCCAGCCACCTCATCCCGGCCCTGTGCCAGCCCCCCGACATCACCCGCCACCCCCGGGGCAGCCCCGCCACCTCTATCCCCGGCCCTGTGCCAGCCCCCCGACATCCACCCGCCACCCCCAACCCGGGGGACACCGCGCTCACCCGAACCTTTGCCGAGCTCCGACTCCCCCTCCCCGCTACCTGGCCACACTCCGACGGCTTCTGCCCGCGCGCCAGCCGCAGCCCCGCCCCAGAAACAGCCCGAGCTCCGCCCACGAAGGGCGGCCCCGAGAGGCGCACAGCCAGGCCATAGAGAGGGCGGCTAGAGTGGCCGGTGAGGGCGCACCGAGAGCCGCGGGGAAAAGCCGCGGGCAGAGCGAGCTCGGGACGGGAGGAGCACGAGAGCCGGGGGAGGGGAATGGGGATAGAGGGGCCGGAAGGAGGAGCATGGAGAGCCGAGGGAAGGGGACAGAGGAGCTGGAGGGGGAAACAAAGAGCCAGAGGAGGGGGGAACATAGTGAGCCTGGGCTGGGGGTTAGTGGGGCTGCAAGGAGGATAGAGAGGTTGGAGGGAGGAGCACGGGGAGGGGTAGGAGGGAGCATAGAGAGCTGGCGGGGGAGGGATAGAGGGCGGAGCATAGAGAGCTGGCGTGGTGGGGGATAGAAGGGCTGGAGGGAGGTGCGTGGAGAGCTAGAGGCGAGGATAGAGGTTGGAGGGAGGAGCATGGGGAGGGGATAGAAGGGCTGGAGGGAGGTGCACGGGGAGGGGTAGGAGGGAACATAGAGAGCTGGCGGGGGAGGGATAGAGGGTTGGAGGGAGGAGCATAGAGAGGTGGCGTGGTGGGGGATAGAAGGGCTTGAGGGAGGAGCATAGAGAGGTGGCGTGGTGGGGGATAGAAGGGCTTGAGGGAGGAGCATAGAGAGCTGGCGTGGTGGGGGATAGAAGGGCTTGAGGGAGGAGCATAGAGAGCTGGCGTGGTGGGGGATAGAAGGGCTTGAGGGAGGAGCATAGAGAGCTGGCGTGGTGGGGGATAGAAGGGCTGGAGGGAGGAACATAGAGAACTGGCATGGTGGGGGATAGAGAGGTTGCAGGGAGGAGCTTGGGGAGGGGCTAGAGTAGTGATCTCCAAAATCACTTTTTGAATTTAAGGGCAACCCTGGATCTATTCCACCCCTTCCCTGAAGCCCCTCCACACTCGCTCCATCCCTCTCTCTCCATCACTTGCTCTCCCCTACCCTCACTCACTTTCACCAGGCTGGCAGAGGAGGGGGTGCAGGCTCTGAGCTGGAACCAAGGGGTTTGCAGTGTGGGAGGGGGCTCTGGGCTGAGCCTGGGGCAGGGGTTTGGAGAGCAGGAGGGGGCTCTGGGCTGGGGCAGAGTGTTGGGGTGCAGGAGTGGGTGGTGGTGCTTGCTCTGGGAGGGAGGTGAGTGCTTGGGGTGCAGGAGGGAGTTTGGGGTGCTGGCACCTGGAGGGGGCTCAGGGCTGGTTTGGGGTGCTGGGTCTGGGAGGCTGCCACTAAGTCTAACTTCCTGCCTACCCCGTCCACACGCCGCTCCCGGAAGGGGCCAATACACCCCTTGGGCGGAGGGAGGAATGGCACGTGGCTCCGCACACTACCCCTCTCTGCAAGCGCTGCCTCCGCAGGTCCCACTGGCCACAGCTCCCCGTTCCCGGCCAGTGGGAGCTGCGGGGGCGGTGCTTGCAGGCAGGAGCAGTGTGTGGTTGGAGACCCCTGTCACCCTGGCTGCGGGGCTGCGCTGGCCGCTTCAGGGAGCGGTGTGGGGCGGGGCAGGTAGGGAGCCTCTCTTAGCAGCAGCCCCGCTGCACTGCGGGAGATCACGATCAACTGGGAGATCCTCTAGGATCGACCCATCAGTGGCCACTGGGATAGAGGGACTGGAAGGAGGAGCATAAAGGGGCTGGAGGGAGAAAGGGCTGAAAGGAGGAGCACAGAGCACCTGGTGGGCGGGGCTGGAGGGAGGACTATACAGGGGCGAGCTGGGATAGCGTTTTTGGTTTTCCTGGGTCAGGCCTTTCTGCTGGAAATGGCACTTGCTCCAGACACACTGCAGCAACCCTTCCCCTTGGCCTAGCTCTACAGGCCTGTGTACAGGCATCTGGCAGGGCCCAAAGCTAATGCAGAGCAGAGGTGCATCATGCGCTTCTGGTGGGCACCCCAAGCTGGTGATGCACATAGCAAACAATGGGACCGTTTCCAAAGGTGACTGAAATAATCCAGAACAGAGTTACAGCTAGGAAAACAAAAAAGCTTAAAACATTTTGTGGGCTGTGTATTTGTGGTGAGTTTAGGTGTTCCCCTTATCAGATTCCCCCAGAGCTACACTGATTCCCTTTCATTCTCAAACACAAAATATATGAATATGCAGAGCTCATAGGACCAGATTCTGATATCAAAATGGAATAAATGAAGAGTAATTCCATCTAAATTAGTGACTTTACTTCTGAGTTACACAGATATAATTGCATTCAGAATCTGGTCTGTGGGGGATTTCCTTTTTTTGTTTAAAAATGGGAGTAACGATGCTGCCTCTGGTGGGACACAACTGAGAGTATCAATTCAGGACAAATTACTTAGAGCAGGGCAGTTACAGCCCAAGGCTGGGTTTCCTTTACCATTAAGGCACACCAAACCAGCCAAACAGAGAGGACTTCGGTCTCACCCCACTGGCTAACCATAAGTACAAGCAGTTCCCTTAGACACTCCAGTTTCCCAGTATCACCACCAGTACCACTTGTTATGGGGATAAATGGTTATGAAAACCAATACCCCAGTAAAAGAAAAAAAAGCGTTCTCCGGATCCCAAAGGACCAAGCCCCAGAACCAGGTCAATATACAAGTCAGATCTTACTGACAATCATGCTGTTGCCAATTCTTTAGAATCTAAAATCTAAAGGTTTATGCATAAAAGAAATATAGATGAGAGCTAAAATTGATTGTGCTTTCTTTGTTCCAACCAAAAAACTGTTGTAGCCAGCATTGCAAGGTATTTACATGCCAGATATGCTAAACATTCGTATGCCCCTTCATGCTTTGGCCACCATTCCAGAGGGCATGCTTCCATGCTGATGACGCTTGTTAAAAAATAATGCGTTAATTAAATTTGTGACTGAACTCCTTGGGGGAGAATTGTATGTCTCCTGTTCTGTGTTTTATCCACATTCTGCCATATATTCCATGTTATAGCAGTCTCTGATGACGACCCAGCATGTTGTTCATTTTAAGAACATTTTCACTGCAGATCTGACAACATGCAAAGAAGATACCAATGTGAGATTTCTAGAGATAGCTACAGCATTCGACCCAACATTTAAGAATCTGAAATGCCTTCCAAAATGTGAGAGGGACCAGGTGTAGAGCATGCTTTTTAAAAGAACAACACTCTGATGCAGGAACTAAAGAACCCAAACCACCAAAAAAGAAAATCAACATTCTGCTGCTGGCATCTGACTCGGATGGTGAAAATGAACATCCAGCTTTGGATTGTTATTGAGCAGAACCCATCATCAGCATGGACACATGTCCTCTGGAATGGTGGTTGAAGCATGAAGGGACATATGAATCTTTAGCGCATCTGGCATGTAAATATCTTGCAATGCCGGCTACAACAATGCCCTGTGAACGCTTGTTCTCACTTTCAGGTGACGTAAACAAGAAGCGGGCAGCATTGTCTCCTGAACATGTAAACACACTTGTTTGTCTGAGCGATTGGCTGAACAAGAAGTAGGACTGAGTGGACTTGTAGGCTCTAAAGTTTATCATTGTTTTATTTTGAATGCAGTTATTTTTTGTGCATAATTTACATTTGTAAATTCAACTTTCATGATAAAGAGATTGCACTACAGTACTTGTATTAAGTGAACTGAAAAATACTATTTCTTATTTTTACAGTGCAAATATTTATAATAAAAAAATAAAGTGAGCACTGTATACTTTGTATTCTGTGTTGAAATTGAAATATATTTGAAAATGTGGAAAACATGCAACAATATTTAAATAAATGGTATTCTATTGTTTAACAGTGCGATTAATCACAATTGGTTTCTTTAATCGCTTGACAGCCCTAACTGTATGTATTAAACAGTATTTGAAAATCAGTTATTTTTACCTGCCAAATCTTGAGTCTAGGGTTCTTTGTTTTCCTGCCAGAACAACTGATATCATAATCACCTAAAACAAATATTTCTCTGCAGTTCCACCTTTACTTTAGGTGTTTGTGATCTCAGTAGCAAGAGCAACAACTCTGAGGTCAAGATTTTGCAAGTGGATATAAAACAGATTCTCTAATATTTTATTTTACGAGGTATTAAACTCCATATATCTTTAAGCTTATCATATAGCACTGAACACAGCTGGAGCTTACCTATTATATACAATATTGTATAAACTTATTAGGCTAGCATGTTATTGATTTGAGATCTTAAAACAGTTTTTCATGTTAATACTAATTCCTCTTTAAAGATCATGAGCATAGTGGACCCAAACTCTTTTTTCTCTTTTTAAATAGAGAATTTTTCTGTCCTCTTGAAGAGAGGTTATATGCAAGTACAGATGACGGAAATCAGATTCACAAAAGCAATGCACAGGGTTGTCATTGAATATCTTCATTTAAGAATATCCTCAGTGGCATACCAGAGATTGTAAAGATGCTCCCCTTCTCTCCTGCTTCCTTTAGCAACAACCATCCCCCCATCCTGCTTTCCTACCAGGGAATTGTTACAGCTTGTACCAATGACAGATCCTGGTGCATTTCTGTGATCGTTTAACAGCTGCTCTGAATGGCCCCACAGGAGCAGGTCAACAGTTTAAGAAGATTAAAGAAGTCTTTGCAGAGTTTGATGTGTCAGATACTATTAATAGGCTGGGAGATGAAGCACAACAGGAAGACTATTGGATGTACTGTAAACCCAGGCAGAGACTAAGCAGCAGCAGGACTGGTGCATTTTCTGACAGCATTGTGAAGGGAACAGTATGTAGAAGGAAAGGAGTACTTGTGGCACCTTAGAGACTAACCAATTTATTTGAGCATGAGCTTTCGTGAGCTACTCTTACTGACAAACTCCTGGAGGCAAACAAATTTCATGAGGGGACGTTACAGGGTGGAGGTTCCCTGAAGAGGCTGTGCAATCTTTCCTCACACTGAATTCCCAGACATAGGGATGGAATCCTGCCTTCATTGCAAAAGAGTCTTAAATTGATCAGTTGTAATTACTTATTAACTAACCTTTTATCAGCCTGATCTCCTAGGCTTAGCTAGCCATGGTTTCCCTTTTCATTGGGAAGATCCTGATTACAAACAACAAGGACTGTGATGAAGTGGACACTGAGAGTGAACTTAGCCAGAGACTGGATAACAAAGTGATGCTGCTGTATTTTGGATCTGGTGAATGCACTCGATGCCAGGAGTTTTCACCTGTCCTCAAAGATTTCTTTGTGAGACTCACGGATGAATTTTATGTGGAAAGGGCTTCCCAGCTGGTCCTGGTATACGTGTCTCAGGATGAGACAGAGGAGAAGCAAGAAAAGTTCCTGAAGACTATGCCCAAAAGGTGGCTGTTCTTACCCTTCCAGGATGAGTTCAAAAGGTAAGATCTTAATAAACCAACAAGACAGATAATTTAATCTAATCAGACACAGATAACAGTTCACAACAGACACACAGATGATAGCATAGTACTTTGCACTTATCTAGCACTCTTTATCTGTAGAAGGAGTTGGGTCCCCATTATTATAGATGGAGAAACTGAAGCTCAGCAAGGGGAAGTGAGTTGTCTAAGGCCACACAGTGAGTCAAAGGGGCATAGTCAGAATTAGAAATCAGGAGTTCTGACTCCCAGTCCCAAGATCACACTGCTAGATCCAGCTGTCCCTAGGTTGAGGTTTCAGATTCACGGTAGCACATGTATTTTAAAAGTCTGTTTGGTGGATTATTATTGGCAATCTTTGTGAAAGGAGTGAGTTTTAAGGGTGGTTTGAACAAAGAGTGGGGAGAGATTCCAGTCGTACGAGAGGGAAAAGAATACAAAGTGGGTGTAATGAGAAGGGAGGCTTTGGAGAAATATAGACAGCAGGAATAAATAAAGCTGGATCAGCATCAGTGCAGTTTGTCTACAACAAACTCTTCTCTGTGAGAACCAGTATTGTCCAAAGGACTTAGCATCAGAGTACCTTGATTCTATTCTTATCTCTGCCACTGACTCGCTGTGTGGTCTTCGCCAAGTTTTTCAACCCTCCTGCCTATTTGTTGCTTTGCAAAATGGAGAAAATACTGTACTTTATCATTTTGCAAAGCTCATTGTTACCTGGGTGAAGTGAGCTAGGTATGTACAGGGAGCTAGATAAGTACAAAGTGTTTTGTTATAGTTGTTTTTAAGCAGCTTTTTGATATATTCCTAAGGAGTCAGAGCCATAAAGGCTCATCTAGTGCTGTGATTTCCAGATCCTCAAAGCTTTGTTACAATCGGTGTTTTCTGGCAATCTGGATACTGAGTGTTTTGTGTTCTTTTACAGTGCCTGTTTATTTCTTGCTCTTAAAAGGATCCAACACAGTGATTGTCCCACCGGGCTGCTTGTGAGACACTAGAAAACATGTAAAGCAAAATATTGTACCCACATTAGTGGCAGAATAAGCAGCAATGTAAATAGTAGTTGATTTCGAATGCTCCCTGCCCACTTGACAATAAACCTGAGCATGTTACAGCTTAAACGCTTCCTATGAATTTTAACTATTTAGTTCTTACTTCCCTCTGTGTGGCGGGTCATTGAAATTAGCCCCATTTGCTGGCACAGAGAGGGGAAGTGACCTGCTCAAGTCTGTACACAGAGTCATTATGAGAAGTAGGACAAGAAAGCAGGATTTCTAGCTCACGTCCAGTTCATAGACCCATTCCCATGTTGCCCATAAGGGTCAGGAGTGTTTTCCTTCCCAGAGAAGATACTGTACACGTCATGCAATTAATCACCTAAAAAGGAGGTTTGGAAACTCACCCCACAATGCGGTAGCAGGAGGGGCAGCAGCAGCATGGGTATCCCCAGCAGCATGGATATCCCCAGCACTCTTCCCAGCAGAAGGGATATAATGTCTTCAGTGGCTTGCCATGGAGCTCTGGGCTTTGTGATTTAAGGTTTCTTCCCTTGTTGATTTCCAGGGAGCTGGAGTTGAGGTTTGCTGTGTCCAACACACCTGTAGTGGTGGTGCTGAAGCCAAGCGGGGAGGTGATTGCTGGGAATGCTGTGGAGGAGATCAGGTGCTTGGGCACTGCCTGTTTCAAGAACTGGCAAGAGGCCGCTGAGCTAGTTGACAGGAGCTTTCTCTTGGCAGAGGACTTTGATGACTTGGCCAAGAGGAGCATCACCGATCCCATCCGCCGCCTCAAGTACAAGCTGGACAAGAAGACAAGGAAAAAGAAGGAGAAAGAGGAAGTGCTCTGTCCTGATATGGAATTATGAAGTTACAGCAGTACATACATTTGCTAGGCTTTTGGTTATCCTAAAACAGGAGCCTAGAGACTCGCTGTCAAAACTCTCCAGACTCAAGGGGGTAGCTTTACTGGAGCACAAGTTAGTATAGACATTTGTATCTTCACAAAGTCTCAGGATCTCAGTGGCAACTGGAGGATTCTGAACAGGGAACAACATGTGGCTGGGGAGATGAGAGAGCCATGCCAGGATTAAAGATGCAGCCTGAGGGGAGGTTTCAGAGTGGTAGCAAAAAGAACGAGGAGTACTTGTGGCACCTTAGAGACTAACAAATTTATTTGAGCATAAGCTTTTGTGAGCTAAAGCCCACTTCATCAGATGCATGCAGGAGAGAATAGGCATTTCCTTTTCCTCACTGACATCTATTCATATAATAATAGGTCTGTTTATATTATAACGGGGACATTATTGGACAGAAATGCCCCAGAGAACATTTCCTCCTGTTCTCACACTCTCTTTTTTCCCTTTATTGCCTAGAGAGTTTCTGTTAGCAGCAAGCACATTAATGACAGTCTGGCTGTATCAGCTCTCACATTTTGATTTCTTGACCTAAAGAATCTAAACCTACCTTAGTGAAAGTCTCACATTGAGATCTCAGCCATTCATTTACCTAGAAATTAGCCAGAAAATGAACTACTACAGAAGAGCAGACTGGCTTTCAGAAATACTGCTCTGCACAATAAAGCAATTGGTAATTCACCAAAAAAAGTGAGGAAGACATTTTAATTTTTAAAAACAATAGTGTATATATGGATTGCTATTAATGTGTTATGCACAGACCACTAAAAGGACTATGAACCAAATCCTCCTGTGAAACAGGTGAACTGACCAACACATTTTACTTGTTATGGACCCAGGTGATACTGGTGTGAGTGACAGTTTCTGATTCACCTTGCATATCACTGGTAACATTATGCAGTTTAAAGTTCTAGAACATGTTAATTTCAGTGCTGCTGAATGGATTTTTTCCCCACCATCATTGTTTGATTTTTATGTTCAGTGATGCTGATGCACCCCTCCAGGGCTATGTGAAATAATAAATAAACCATAGTTTTAGTCTCTAATCTGTGTTGCCATCTACTGGTAGTAAGTAGCAATTGCTGAATACCTGTCTGTCACAAATGAGGGCATGACTGACAATTTACAATCATTTTAGCATCTTTTAGGCAACTCCTTTTTACTCTTTTGTGCTAACTAGAACCTCATTCAAAATTGAGGCATTTCATTACTATGGGTCTAATAAGGGATTAGAAACTACTTTTCTTTTTTTGCCACAGGAGCAACTAGGACTGAATCCTGTTTTAGTTAGCCCATGATTTAACAAGGCACAGTCTCAAGGAAGCCTGCAATGAGAGATCTTTGACTGCCCCTTTCCAAATTACTACCTGTGGCCTCACTCATTAACTACCCAGGTTGAATTAAAATAGTTTTGTATGCAGGCAATTGCTTTAGACAGCTAGGCTAATAAATAACCTAGTCCCTATTATCTCAGTTCTAATACATAGGATAACTCAAGACTTCAGCAGCTGAGTCAGCAGAGAGAATGGACACAACTCCAATCCTGCTATCTGGTTGCACCCATAACTCCAACTGCTCGGCACCTCTGGAAATCAAGCCACTTAGATAGCTGTGTAAATAAAAACTTAGGTGCCTAAATTTAGGCATCAGTGTTTGAAAATTTTGGCCTAAGTGACCTGACCACAATAAACTCACGGAAGAGCAGGGAATAGAACCCAGTAATCTTGCATTTCAGTCCCCTGATTTTATATTCTTAAATTGCCCAGCAGGCCAGTTTAAATAGCCTGAATGAATAAATGAAAGAATTGAAAGAAGGTGTGTTTCTAGTGAAGACAGAGAGAGGCATAAGGCAGGACCAGCCTGTTCAACTTGTTTTCTCTTTTAATCCTCCCTCTATTTACCTAGCAAGGCTGGCAGGTAGAAGGGAAAAGGGGGAGGAAAAATGTAAACTGAAGGGGTGCCACCCTCAGCTCTAACACTATGCAAGTCCTGCCTGGTCTGTAAAAGGAGTGTATCTGTAGACTTGCTATATTTCTGATACTCTAGGATACAAAGAGGAAAATAATGAAACAGAATATCATGTGGATTTTGATATTCTGTGTAAATGACCTGTTGCATCTTATTATTTCTCAACTGTCTGGTCATCAGCAGGGCCAGAGTACCTCACAAAATGTATCTGAAAAGGAAACCATTTCAAAGTGTGATTAAAGGTTACTTGAGAGAACAATATGTTCAGCATCCAGTTCACTGTCTTTGAGACATTTTCTGTGTTCTGTACAGCACTTTGGTGCTTAATAAATAGATAAAAATAAAAACATTTGGGATGAAGTAGCTTTGGGATGAGAGATACTGGACTTCCTGATCCACTCCAAGTCTCAGATAAAGCAATGTACCAAGTTACTTAGGTCACTGTACAACAACAGGTGATTATACCAATATAATTTTAAACCCCTCTAAATTAAAAATCAAGAAACAAAAATATTACTGTATGGGAGGAGGAAAAGGATAATGGTTTTATACACAGACCCACACCTACCTATCTAAAGACTGCCAGTATTAGTGTTATGGCTACTAATTAGCATCCATAGTGCTTCCCATTCTCCAAGCATTGTGATGCTATTGAAAAGACACTCTCTACTTGAATTCATGTCAGCTTAAAAAAATAGTAAAAAACATTTTCAAGTGCTGTACCGACTCATGACTCCCTCTGCTAATTTTTGCAGTTTTACAAACATATTTTCCAATGTTTCTTTCCTTTGTTACTGTTTGAAAAAAGGACAAGTACAACTATACAATGGAAATGGAACAACTATACAAAAGAAAAGTGAACCTGACAAAAGGCAAAGTGCTGGCATGCTGATGAAGAGAACCATTTGTTTGCTCTAACCTTTTTCTGTTACAGGCTCTGAGGAGTTACTTGTGACAATAGCAGGGGCACAGTTTTCTGAGAGAAGTGTGATTTAAGTGAACAGTGCCACTTTAACTAATGACTCCTTCTGGCACAGCCTGGAGGGCTGTCAACACTGTATTTCAAAAATAAGGGACTGTTTCTTAGCACCCCACCCCTCCTCCTGATATTATCATTATTATTATTAAGAAGAAGAACTCATCTACATTTGCTAGGAGTGTTTCTTGCTGCTTTTTGCAGCATTCGGCAACTCCCGATCTTGTTGTACATAGACGAAAAATAAGGGACATCCCTTGTAATAAGGGACTGTTGGCAACCCTAGGCACAGGGCCAACTTTAAATCAACTTGCCACTGTCTAGACAGCAGCCAAGGTACAGAATTGACTGTGGATGCTCCACCTACTGAGCAAACATGCTATTGCACCCTGTACCCACTCCGAAACAGCAGAGAAGCCTGGCTGCAAATCCTGCTAAAATGAGATTACAGTAGTTGAGCCTCATGGGCATAAGTATGTGTGTTGTTGTGTGAGGTCATCTCAGGATAATTAGGGTTCAGCTCACACAAGTTAGTGGGAAAGACACTTTCATGCTAAGTTTGGCTCATGGGGGCTTTCCAGGGAAAGAGTGTGACTGCAAGTGACGCCAAGATCCAACTACTGTACTTGACACCTCGGTTAAGCTATCCAAGATCCAGAAAGACAACAAGGGTACAAAAACTCTGTGAAGGAAGTCATCAGGTGTATACAGATGTCAGATCCAGTGATGCCTAGTTCTGTGTTTCCAAAGTGGGCCAAAAAGAAGCTTAAGTCCTAACAGCACCAATTACTGAGGGTGCAACAGGGATCTGGGCACATACTCAAAGTTAACATGCACCCATTTGACAAGCTTTTTATATTATTGGTAATATAAATGATGAAGAATGCTGTATGAAATAGTTGTACAACTAAGATGGAGTGTTATGGGTAAGTCCTTCAACACTGGACTAGCACTGTGTACAAATAAGTCTGGATATCTACATTTTTTAAAAGACAGTACAGTGATCTAGAAGTTTGATGAGAAAAGCAGTAAGTAGAGAGGTAGAAAGCTAAAGAAGTATAAACATGAGTATGCTTTGTACCCCTATAAAATGCTCATTGAATACTTTAAATATATTATTACAGAAGTTTAGTATTATCAGCACACATGGCATATAAGTACTCTATTAAAGGCAGTGCTCATTAGTGGCTAGAGCACAGGATTAGAAGCAGGGAGTTCCTGCATTCTAATGCTGGCTCTAATATTCTCTCCATCTGTGGCCATGGGCAAGTCACTTAACTTCTCTGCATCTCCACTTCTCCATCAATGAAATGAAAACAATACTGTTTGACTGACCCAGATCACGGGTGTTGCAAGGACTGATTTCCTAATGTCTGTAAACTTTTTTAAGTTTAAAAGCACTATATAAAATTCTGAGTATTATATGAGTGAATGTGTATATAAACTAAACTTTTTATTATATGTGTGTAGTGCACATAGGGCATCCCAATCGCTTATTGGGGCATCTAGGTGCTACCATAATACAATAATAATACATTTCTGAGCAATTCATTTTCCAAACTCTCCACCTGCTGGCTTGTCTGCATAACTCATTTTTCTTTTTGAACTATACATTAATCTTCTTATAAAAGATCTTGTTATGCTTGTGTAATTCAATTTGCTAATAATTTTTACTACGAAGGCTGTTTGCAGATCTTCAGGTAGTAAAGGGGTTAACAAAAGAGGGGTAGCAGGATCAGTTTGCTCCTATAGATGGTATAGATACTCTGGGAAATGAGTGATTTCATAACTTGCAGCAGGAATGTGGAAAATCCACATAGCCTGACACTTGTCTGGAGTTTGAGAGACTCATCCCACACAGACAACACGTAGTGAGACTTCCAGGACTGGTTCCCTCTGAAAGGATTCAGACTGAGGGGCGTATCAGTTGAGTTCAGAAACTGGCTGCAAACATCAAGAGCTGTTGCTGCACAAAGGACTGAGTCAGGACAACTACTTGATTTTCCATTTTTATCAGCCAAGAGTGAGGTGCCTTTAAACGCGGGACAGTCGGCAAATTGGTTTTTCAAACAGGTTGTCATTTTTGTTTTCCCCCTACCCCCAACTTAAATAGGGAAGGAGAATTAAGGTGATTCATAACATTCTAGCATCAGAGGGGTAGCCGTGTTAGTCTGTATCCACAAAAACAACAAGGAGTCCGGTGGCACCTTAAACACGAACAAATAAATCTGTTAGTCTTTAAAGTGCCACTGGACTCCTCGTTAACATTCTAGCAGTGCACCTAGAACACAAATACTTTTACTTTTAAAAAAATCTGACTTTAATTAAAAGACCTCACATGAAAACACAGTGCAGCTGCATGTGGATATTTGAGTTTCACTTTGATATCAGTCTCTCTGAGGAAAATCTGAACTTGGGTCTCCATTTGCTGAAATGTGCAGGAGGAGGAGTTTTTATAATGGTATTTACTACACGTTTGAAGTGATTAAAGTCTCGTTTGCTAGACCGTCAAAAGGCAGCAGCAACAGATTAGAAAATTATATTTAAATAAATGCTCACAGCAATGATTCATGAGAATTAATCTCAAACTCTCAGTTATTCCAGGCATTTTGTATTGAATTTTGAGGCCTTGTACAGAATGTTTCTTCTACTTATTTTAGGAACAGCAAGCTGTGCAGAAGTCTGTAGGACTGCAGAAATGTGTAACAGAAAACATGGTTTGTGAGAAAGAGGTTCTCCTTTGTGCTTACTAATACCTCTGACATTACCATGAGTCGCACAGGAGTACAGGACAATGCCAGTTACATTCAGATCGGAGGCAAATCACCAGATAATGGGCACTTCACTCCTGAGCATGACTCTGGGTTCCTGACTGCTGTTTGGGCTTCTGTCCAGAAACCTACCCCTGGTAACTGCATTGGCCAAATGGACCTGTGTACCAACAAGCTGCAGCATGTTACTGGACATCTGAGAAACATCGATGGCAAATTCCAGAGCCTCCGGGAGCTTTTCCAAAGAGAAGGTAAATATCTAATATTTAAGTTTGTTCATTTACAAGAAAGGCTAGCATAAAAGTTAACATCATACCAAATCTAGGCTGCACTTGAAAAGGTCTGGACAGGACCCAGGATCTTTGTTCTGTAAAGCACCCAGCATTCTCTGGTACACCACATATAAAAAACAATGAAGTCAGATGACCCTCAGACCTTTCAGACCAGACTTTCAATGCTTACTTCCCTTTTTTAGCAGGCACTTAATAATGTGTACTCTTATTTGTATTAATTGCACCCATATTTATTGCACCTGTAAATAACTGCAGGCACTTTTTATAGCACTTCCGCATATAAGAACCCAGTTGCTTCATCAAATGAAAAGCGAAGGCTCCTAAGTGCTATAGATGGCACCTGCAATTACTGGTGGATGAAAAATCTGGTTTACAGCAGTTCTAAACAGTAGTGTTAGTGACTGCAATGAATAACACCCACTGAA